CCATTAATTTCTACAGCACACAATAAAAATGTTAATGTTGTTAAATGTATACGCTGCCATTTTTTTTTTTTTCCATTTCCATGCAAAAACATGCAGCTAAGGATAATTCATAGCACTTTAAGTATAGCAATTCTTAAAATGCCAGTTAGATACAAAAAACAGGAACCTGATAAATCCATTATACAGAAATAATAAGAGGGGGGGAGGAAAAAAGAATCAGTTACCTCATTATTCTATCACCTATCGCTGTTCCTCTGATATTATATCTAGTAAAGGGAACAACAACTGAAGTCATTCAAAAATGCTGGATATCATGTTTTCAAAAAGGTTAGCATCCATTACAAAATGTGTTCTACTTCTTCCAAATGAGGAGATTTATGCTCAATGTGTTAGTATTTGAGACTATTTCAATTTCAGCAAAAATAATGTTCAGATTACATATTAGTACACAAAGTAGATCCTATAAAATGCAGTAATTTTCATAGATTATAGTAGAAATGGAAGCAGCTGCATTATTATTTCAATTTTACGTTTGCATTTGTTTCAAATTTTGATTCACTAGTTTAAAATCTTCCAAACTTCACCTCTGCTCAAAGGTCAGCTTCTGTCCAAGTCTAGAGGAAAGTAATGAAGGAAATTTAAGAAGGAAAACAGCCCTGAAAGAGTTGTATTGTCTATTTTGTGAAAATCAAGCTCAGTCAGTTAGAAACAGCATTCTCTGCTCGTAAGGTTTATATATCTTTCTTAGATTCCTCATTCTGCCTCACACAGATTACAAAGTACACTGTTCAGGTGAGCCATATTATCTCTCTCTGTTCCAACTACACCTGCTAAACTTAGTAAGTTTTAATGAAGAAATGCCATGGGCCTAATTTAAGACTTCAAAACCTGTTTATCTTCTCATATTTGTAAGACAAAGAATCATTTCATGTGGCTGTTTTTTTTTTTTTTAACTGAAAAATACTCTAGGCAATTCCTAATACATTAAAAAGAATGTGTATTGACTAGCCTGTAGTCAATCCAAAATAGAAGCCACTGATCTTCACCATCCTTATAATGATGTTCAGAGGTTGCAGAAAAGCTACAGGAAAAGAGATGTCACACTCTCAATTCTTTCAATGAATATCCTTCTACATCAAAACTATTCCAACCTGATTCCCAGTCAATATTCAGTTGACTTAACCAATTTATCAACCACAAAAGACTGTTGTATTTCTACATATTTTGCTGCTAGTATTTCAGGCCCTTTTCAAAACACTCGTGTAGGTGCAGGGGTTGTGTTTCTCTATCTGTCACACGGTCTTTCCAGGCAGGTTAGCTGGAGACAAACTACCCTCATTGTGTTTTGAGACATTTAAGGAACTACAGTAAGAGTTTATGTCCCTTGCATCAATTCTTACACTGTATAAGTGAGATAAAAAATACCCAGTTCTTCGTCTGAACACATAAAAAGTTGGAATCAATGAATGTTCTGAAAACATTAGATTTGCAAAATCTAGCTTTAAAAAAAGCTATTCATAAATCTGAAATCCACATCTATCTTACTAAAAATTGTCTGAATCCTGCAAAGTTGAAGCAGCAGGAAGTTCGTTATTTAACTTCAAGTCGTAGGGTCAAAAGAGGTATCAAAAGGGTACTTCAGCCACTTCTTTTCCTTAAGAGGAAGTTTAAGTTCATGATTTCAGAGTACAGGTTCAGAAGGCTATCCTCCCTTTCTCAGTAGAGGAAGCTTTACTTCACAGTGGAAATCTAAGACAGTTTCTTCAAACACATTTCCCCATCTGTGGAGTTTCTCCTATACATAAACAATAAGTAGTTATTAGATATGGGAAAAAAAAAAAGTAAAAAATCCTAAAATTTCCTCCAAACAAAAGCTAGTAATGTTATATACTGCACAAGTCTTAGTAGTTGAACTGGTTGTTGTTGTTGTTGTTGTTTTTTAGCACTGTTTCAAAATTTTTTTCTCCTAGAGAAAAAAATTATTTTTTGCCACTATGTGCGTAAATTAGGTTCAGAAAAGTTACATTATCGCAGGACAACCTTATACCTTCTCTGGAAAGAAAAAGCAAACAAATAAAACAAAAAACCAGTACCTCCTAGACATTCTAGACAGATGAAATCTACTGTACTACTTCTGCATTAATGACATTAATTATGTCACAGGGATGACACATGGGAAACTCAATAATTAAGTAAATCTGAGAAGATGAGATTTAGTAAAGGAATTGTTAGGTATCACAATTTACTAAGTGAGAAAAAAGAGAATGTAAGACTATAGGAAGTATATTGGTGGAGTTACTCACTGGCCTTGAAGGCAATTTGTTCAACGTATTGCTAATGACCTTTGAGCAAAATGTAGGAATGTACTCATGCTATGCATTGAGAACGTGAAATTGGGTAATTTTAAGAATACAGTACTGTAGGACCTTGAGAACAGTCATATACTTCCAAGCTTCCTTCTGGTAAAAGATAAGAACAATATCCTGCCAGATACGATGAATCTGAATAAAATTCAAAATAAAATAAATTCAGTAATCTGAAGACAAAAAAGCCACCATTATGAGGCAGCCATAGGCAAGAGAGAGGAAAGATGCAACTACATCCCATTGGTACCACAGAGAATCTTCCCTAGAAAATGAGTAATGCTCATACCATTACTCTTACCAATGTCCACACAGCACAGTGTGCATAATTCTGGCCTACCAGATTCAAAAAAGAGTTGGAAGTAGGAAGAGTACAGAAGGGAACCGGTACAATGCTGGAAGATTACTAGAAGACTTTACTGCTAAGAGTACAGAAAATCTTAGTGCTCTTTAGTCTAGCAAAACAAAAGCCAACAACAGGCAGGATGAGCATCATTTAAATGATGTTCATCCTGTTCATCCATGCACTGGGCATGGAAAAAAGAGTTATTTCAAAGCACTACGTTAGCACAAAACAAAAAGACTAATTATGGTCAACTTATACCCATTGTATTAGGAATGCTTTGAAGCAACTTCCCACTTGTTAAGGCATCAGGGGGATTTTACGTAGGGGATATGTAAGTTTATGAAAGGGATAATATGTTACAACATCTGTTGCATAGTAGAGAGGACTTCCAGTTCCTTTCACTCCTTTTCATGAGAGATATAAATACTAAGAGGGCTTATAGCTAGACTTTAAGACCACCAGTGCCTTATCTCTCTGCCTGGATATCCAAATTTTTTTCATTACTCATAGCTTGTCTCATTTTTCTTCAGTATGTCAGAGGGCATTTAGAAACTCCTGAAACCAGAAGAATAGGAGGGGAACAAAGTAAATATATATTGTTAGAAATTAAACTTGAAAAGTTCCCTGTTTATACATATACAGAAGTAGAATAAAATGAGGTGGTCAGTTTAAGCCTGAGTAATGAAAGCCTGGAGGCAATCCTAAACTGGTATTGACTAAACAGTAGCTTTTGTCAGTTTTTATATGGGAAAAGTAAAAGGGAGTGAGGGACTGCATAAAGTATTTTAATTGCATCATTCATTTAGTTGAACGATTTTTCATATATGATAGATCTCAACTACTACAGAATAAATTTCAGTGCACAGACAAGAGGAGAAAAAACAGTGTCAGATGGAGAACAACTTCAATTAAGATGTCCACACTAGTGGGAAACTGTAACAGCTGTAGCACACTCTGAAATATCATTCTAATTACATCACTATAAGAACTGTTACCTAATAGAGAAAGTATAAGGTGCATGAAGAGAAGCTAAGAATCCTAACGAAAGCAGAAATGAGATTAAAATTGCAGAGTATTTGACAGCTTGCTCTTCATCCACTACATTATAATGAACCTTGGCATTGCAGTAGCAACTCTTCCAGCCACAAGACATTTTATCTGCAATTTAAGTTTACTTAGTATTGTGTGAAAAATTAACAGATTAAAACAGAATTTGTACATGATGACTTTTTTACAGATATCACTTACTGAACTATTTGTGCTATGCAATAAGTAACCACTGTCCTTTATGTCACCACTGACCATGTAAACAGCTTAGGACTGTTTCTTAAACTGCCAATTATTCAAAACCTTTTCTATACTCAGTTATTAAATTCCTTCAGATTATTTAATGAATATACACTGTAATGTTTAAAGTAAAGAATTTGTATTATGAGCACAAGAAATTAATAGCAAGATAATACTGACTTTGAAGAGGACAAGAGTAAAGCTAAGGCATCTGACACTAGGTTATACACCTAAAATGAATGAAAGACTTTCTTATTATCTCTAAGGATGTTGCTGAAGTAATTCATGTAACTTTTAAAAAGTCCAACAATCGAAATTAATTAACAAAGGTATTAAAAAAGCAATACTATACTGGGCATATACTAGGTTTACCAAGTGATCAAACAATAAATTATTGTAAAAGAAAAGAAATATACAAAGCATATTAAATGCACCTTTTCTTGGCAATGACAACCTTCAGTAAACCATTTTTTTTATCCTATACATAGACATTCAATAACTGAGAAGAGAAAAAGGATTACAGTTTCTCCTTCAGAGAATAAAAACAAAAATGATTGAGCCTATCTGCCTTAATGTATGTACTACAGAAAAACATACCATCAATGAACAACAACAATAGCTTCTGTTTTGTCAAAGAAAAAGAAAGTACAGCTGAAAAAGCAAATTTAGGCCCCTATGCCCTCAATGCGATTATATGAATTTCTGATTATTCTCATTGGAGCCATAATAATCAAAAGTGACCAGCAAATGTTTAGTCTTGGGGTATTCAGCAGGAACAAAACAAAGCACAGGCAGATATTAGGTGTGTGGGAGCTTGCCTGGCTAGGGGGAAAGATGTAGCTATACAAATCTTACATATAGGCAAATTAGGCTCAGCCATAAGGCCAATCAAGCTGACAAAAACAACTTTTAAAATTAAGGCTATGAAGCATTGGCTTCTAGTACTTCCACTAAAAGAAAAATGCATTTTGCCAAGCAGCAACAGAGACACGTATTCCTCTAACCTGTGTCCTGGTCCTCCTCGATACCTTGCTCCTGGGATCAGAACAGGATCATCATCACTGTCATCAGTTTCTTGGAGAGCTGAGGTTCTGGTAGAACAATCTTCTGGAGTTGCAAGCCCTGAGGATTCTGGGTGTGGCTGAGGTTCATCGCTTGCACTAAGCAAGTTGGCAGTGGATTCAGCACTTTGCTGACTTGAAATTTCTTGATTTGTACTTTTTTCACTTGAAGCTTCTTCCTCCACAGTTCTGGAGACAGTCTCAACACTGGAATCATTTTCTTCTGGTTGGATTCCAGGATGCTCAGTAACAGGTTTATTGGATACAGCTATTGGAAAATATTGGTGAAATGATTACAGCCTATTTTAGAAGTCATTATAGATGGTCATAAAAATTAAATTATGCATATTGATTTTATATTGGAAATTATATTGGAAATTTATTTTTTTTCACTTTCTATGTCCTCACATAACACTATTAGTACATATACATACTTGCTTCTGTTGTCTCTACAGTTTCATCTGTAGTTTTCAGTTCTTCAGCACTTGTGTCTTCCTTGTGAGATTCATCAGGAACTCCTGAGTTAAACAACTTTATATTAAATTGCATGATTTCAATTAGATGCACATCTACCAGTCCTAGCAGATGGTACCAGCAGTCCTAGATCAAGCCAATCCCAAAGCAATGCCCTGCAAGTTCTGTATCTCACTTTACTGCAATCTTAGATATTAATTGGATAAAGTCGGTGTATCAAAAAAATTAAAATCTCTTTATCTAGTTGCTCAGGTCAAAACATAAACAAAGAAGAAGGTGTTTATTATTCCTTAGTACACTTGAATTCAGCTGCAAAACTAGCAATATTACTCTTCAAACAGATGATTGCTTACTGAAAACTACTATTTCTGAAGAAAGAAATTAAATTATCCCTCTACTGAAAGTAGATTTTTCTGGAAACTGTTATTTGACTTGACTGCTCTTTTGGCAATGAAATGAGTGAGACTACCTCATATTAAAGAAAAAATAAGTAGAACCTTACATAACAAAATACACCTGAAAGTTGAAAGAATTGCTGCAAAATACCTAGCACTCATTACAACTATAAACAGCAGCTCTACTAGTTTTCAATACAAATTAGTGCAAAAACATGTTCCTAAGAAAAAAGAACAAGAGTATCAGAACTAAAACCAGGAAAAGCTCATTTTATTTGCACTTATTTGCATCTCTTTCGGGTCAGTACATTTCTCCTTCAGAAAAAAAACAAACACAAACCACCAATCTCCAACACAGAACAAAAGCACCGTGTTCTATTATGGCTGTATTCTGCCTTCATATGCGTGTGTATGAGACTCCCGTTGTATTCGGTGGTAGTCATAGACATATGAGAGCAGAAATTTTACCTTACCATTACAGAAGTAATGCTGAATCTTACTTGTTTCTTCATCTTCAGGTCCTGACTCTTCTGATGTTTTTGTTTTTAAGGAATCTTCTTGGCCTTCAGTTTTGCAATGACTTCCACTCCCTCTAGAGCTTGAATTTGTGCTGCTCCTGGCAACGTAACATGTAAAAAGCAACAAGCAAAAAACCCACAGAACTTAGAAACAATATAAATTGATAAGAAAATCACTGCAATGCAGTCAGGCATAGAAATACTGAATTCATTGTTTTTCAAATTAGGAACTGTGCCCACAGAAAGACTAACTTGCTAAATAACATATGAGAAGTTTGGTAGAGCCAAGAATTAAAACTTGAGTGCTAACTCCCAGACTACCTTTCCATCAGTGTACTTTGCTTTAGTAAGAGCAGTGAATGCAAACATGATGCTTAGTTTTGATGACAGTAGCTGGGTTTCCAACTACACTAGCATTAAAAAGATTTACAGTAAAATATCACACACTCTTACATAAATTCCACACTGAAGCATGACCATCTTTCATTTTGAACATGCTAACAACTCCAGACATTTTCAAATTGGATACATACTAATTGGAAAATATACTTATATCATATGTAAAAATATTTGTATCTATGCTAGACCAGTGCTAATGAAATGTCAACAAGAAGTCAGAAGCAAAACTAAATTCTTACCACTCATCAGTGAAGTCCAATTTTATTGTGCTAGTAGTTGTTCCTTCTGTACTGTAGTGCAAACTTAAAACTGGTTCACTCGTTCCTGTTCGTGGCTTATCACTCTCTGTAAATATGAAATTGATAAAGTTTGGATGAGCATCAGTGACATACATAAAGATGCTATATTTCTGAAGATTCATTTTATTATCTTTAAAAAGAACATGTTGTTAAGACGTAACATTTAAGATTTGCTACAGCCCAAGCAAACAGTTAAGAAGTTTCAGAGTAAACACACCAAATTCACACTTTGCAATGCTTTAAAAATGGCTTTAAATTATCTCTATTTACAAAGAGCAAGCAAAGATGCTGCCCTTCAACATGCAGATAAATAAAATTGTCAGCTAGGTATGTGTACAACAATATGATCCTTTAAGAGCAGATCTTTTTCCTATCAATTATCTTAGTAATAAGAACATAAAGTACTTTTGATGTTGTGTTCAGTCCTGTTAGTCTCATGTAAACACAGGAAGAAAGATGATGACCACAGTCAGCGGTCTAGAAATCCACCTTCTCCTTTACTTTTTTGTCTACCTAGAATCCACTCAACTACTAATATACTTAGACCTGTCATAAATAGTCAAGTAATTGCAATAAAATGACTCTAAGTTCATGTTCTGATAGCTTCAGGCTTGAAAAAAATCTTTCATATTATAATGACTGTAAGCAGAAGGGAAGTCATTGCAAAACTAAATATTTGTGTCATCCAAAATCAACAGATGTCAAATTGAAAACTGCTGTAATCCTGGCAAGCTCCTGCTGAATTTGTAGTTTTAAGGACAGTTCAGTGGTCACCTTCAAAATGGAAGTGCTCAATAACATCCATCCACCCACACAACCTCCTTGAGAGAAATTCATGGTGACTCTCTATCTACATGCATGGCTCAAGTGCCATTAATGCTTAAGTTGGCTACGGGCAACACTAATAAGTTAAAGGAAAGTAGCATCAAACTAAGCCTCACTACATAGGTGCCAATCTTTCAGAATTCAGATGGCTTAGTACTAGGCACTGCTCAAATGACCAGTAAAGTAGCCTACATAGTCTTGCTTTGCACAAATGCTGTTTGGACAAAAGCACGACAAATTTTCTTTGATTTATACGCTACAGAAATTTGGTCAAAAGGATATTTGCTGTATTGGCAACAGACCAGTACCTAGAATGAAGTAAAAACTTTAGATAATCGTTGGGTAAACATCAATTAAAATCTAACATTCAATACAAGCCTACAAATTTCCCGTGCCAGAACAAAAATGGCTACAATATTGCCACAGGATATTTATGAAAAAAAATGCAATTAAGTTGTAGGAACTATGAAACATAAAAATTTAACCCAGCAATCAGTACTTGTCTGTAAACAGTTGACAAGACAGAAACCCACTACAGTATCAGAGCAGAAATCAGTGCTCTGAAGAACTTTAAATATGTATTTCTACATTTTCTGATGACAAACAGAAAATAGAGTAAAAAATCATATGGCAGAACATTAATCAATTATAAACATGAATTAATTATACATGAGGAGCATTGAAATAAAAGCTCATCTCTAAAACAAAGCTTCTAGTTACATTCTTATTAGAGTGAAGCAAAGATCAAACTGTATCTTATAGTGGCATGTATAAATATTCTGAATGAAACTGAACAAAAAATGATGCATCTTTAATTATCAAATTTGTTATATCTTTTCCTTGCAATCTGTCAGCAAGCATCTCCTGGTGTAAAAATCTGCTCAACATTTGGAAATTCCTTCCTATGCATGTACAAATACTGATCATTTCAGCATACTGCACAGTTATCAAGTTATCATGAGTTGGCCACTGGAAGAGTAAAAGATGACAGAGAATTCATCTTCTTTCTCACAGATACAGATGAGACCTATCTTTGAAAGAGGAAGTGAGACAGAAAGACAGACAATTTAGTGCCTTGAATAGTCCTAGGCAGCCATCAAACTATTGCAATACTATAACCTGATGCTACTATGCAATATTCACTTCTGCACAAAACAAGTTAACATTTCTAACCAAAGTAACTGAACATCATGAAACTATAATGAATGTAATTGAATGTTTGGATTGTGTTATAAAGCTCAGATCTATCATCGTAAAGAGTGCTTTAGTGTCCTAAAACGTCAGGATCAAGAAACTAAAGCCTTCTGATTGCACTAACTGTGGAGGCAATGCTTGTATTTATTCATACTAAAAAAACAGGAAGAACTGCCATAAGCACATCCAAAGAGGGCACTGAGAACTCTGCCACAGTTTGACAAACCAACCTGCTCCGAGCTAGCTCACTTATCTATAGTGTGGCACTGAACAGTCAGGCATGGACATCACCATAGCAGTGATGTTCCATAAATGCACACACTAACTTGCAAATATCTAGAAATACCAGTACTCAACGTGGCTTCTGCGTATGAAGGAAGAAACAGTAAGATGGCGTGGGATGCATGCATCCATTTACACCACAAAGTTACCAAGCTAGTGCTCTGGCTTCAGGTTCTCTCACTTATCATACCAATTCAAACAGTACCTTAAAGACATGATATTGCCTATATGCTAATATTACAGATATCCTTCATTATTAAAATCACAATCAAACAAAACATTCTGTGTTGATTATTACCATCTATTTGGAAGTTATTTTGTAAAGAATGGATAGATGTGCAGCTTCTGCTGGAATGTCAGAAAAAAATGGCATGTAAATACGTGTTTCTATAGGCGTAAGTATCAAAAGGTCTTTAAACCCAGAAAATGTCTTAAAATATAAATGACAATAACACAGACTGGTCCAAAAGTAAGCCAGCTAAAAAGTACTGCATTAAGGAGAAGAAAAAAAAAGTAAGAACGACCAAGTATTTCTATATAAGAACTGACACAACTTCTTCCATTAGCTACTTACACATTTCTGAGGTTTCTATTCAAGTATCAAGTAAAACTAACAGAGTTTAACTCCAAAATTCTCCTCTGAATCTCAGCAAATTGCTCCTTCTGGTTTTCATTTGGATAAGATAGATTTCCTAGCAAATTACTTCCTTTTCCAAATTCTTAGCTTACAAAACTTAAGGTAACAGTGTCTCTTCTGCTGATCCTTATCACCACAAAAGAAAAACGTTACCTTAAAACATTCCAGATTGCTACAGTTATGCAGTTAACAACAGTAACATACAAACTAGCTCTCCTGCTCTACAAGAAATTTTGGAACTGATTTCTGGGATGAAAACTTCTGCTTTCATTTTTCTTGTTACGTGGGTTTAATTTACCAGCTTTATTGAATAAACTGTTTTATCAACTTTCCAAAAATTTTCAGCTGTATGAATTTCAATAAGCATACAGACTTGTTAATTCTAGCTTACTCTACTACCATTAAATAATGCTTTGGGTTCATAGAAGAGACCATAATTTGGTCACTAATAACAAGCAAGTCTTCCAGCCTAACCTGAAGAGTGATGTAGACTATTAAACCATGAATAACTAGTAAATGTACATTGTAAGATTTAAGGCTATTTCATCACAAAATGTAGTTCTACAACATGAATTTATTATATCAATAAATCAAACACAGCTTGACTTTTTTCCCCCAGCATTCTTGGATCCTAACATAAATCAGGTCTCAACAGTTGCCAAATACTGTCTTTCAGAAATGGAATATCAAAATAGCATTCTAGCTTTCAATGCGACACATGAAACAGCCAGCTCTTTTTTGGCATTTGAGCTACTTAAGCTCTATTGAGGCCTTGATATGGAAGTAAGCTTAATGCAGAGCGTATGGAAATCTATTTTTAAATTACCCTCCATCATTCGTTAATTATTCAGGCATAAAAATTCACAGCAGATGACATTGGTTCAGCTAGAATAGGGTCACCTCCAGCCAAATTCACTGCTCGCAATTTAAAGGCTCTGATGAACAATGGGTGTAGAGAAAGCTCAGAAGCATTCTTCCTATCACTAGATCCTGAGGCATCTACAAAGAAACACTAGTACTTGCTTAGTAGAAGGAGTAGAGGACAAAAGATTACAGAGGTAAGATGCACTTAAATGCAATAGGTGCTTGAGTTACTCAAACTGTGCAAGTACAACAAAGCTGCATGTATCTTTTGCATAAAATAAAGTGCTTTAGCATTACATGATTGCAAGTTATTTCAAGTTGACAGCTGCATTCTGATTCAAGAACAACCATCCAGAAAAACAGAAAAGCTATTTAAAGAATTAATTTCATATTAAAAAAAACATACCAAATTTCTGTAGAGTACATAAGACATTTAGCGTACCTACATTGAATGCATTATGAACTGAGCATAGGATGGCTTTCAAAAACAATTAACCTTACTCTGATCCTGGTATTGAGAATCAAATAAATAACAAGTTTCCAGCAGATCTGCTTACAGAATTCTACTTTATGCAGATGAACAGCATTTTAGACTGTTTATCATCACGAAAGGCAATTTTAAAAAGGAAGCATTGCAATCAGCTATGGCTGGGTATAGCGTATTTCCTGTCACGCACCCTGTTGCTCATCAAGTGACATGGATCCAAGCTGTTTGTTAACCACAGAAGAAGGAGAATCTGAAACAAAAATGAGATTTCAACTTAAAACATAAGCAGCAGAGAACTGCACAGCAATGTCACGATCATACGTTAGTTTAAAATAAAAAAAATGAGAAGCAGCAACACAAGGAAGCTTTGGGGTTGTTTTATGAGCAGCCAGCCATATTGCATTTTCTAGGCATGAAAGAAGCAAAGCCACTTGTTTCAAATCATTACGTGTTTCTTTAGGAAGTCACTGAACAGCCTGAATATCCTGATGCTGATATTAAAAACGCCTGTCCAATACCAAGGACTTTGCTTTGTTCTTCATTTCTAAAATGTTTCAAAGAACACTGAAGAGTTATGACTTCTAGAGCCTTTGCTGAAACTATCAAATGACATTAGTACTTCAAACCATGTGCTACATGTAGATTTCAGAGTATTTATACATCAACATGAAATACTCATGGCATACCAGTACCTTCAATACTTGTATCTATGGACATAAATTGTAAAAGATCAGAGGATTTCTGAATACAGCAACATACAGATTGTTTGCATAACATCAAGGCACCCAAACAGATCCCACTCAGAAAATAGTTCAATAGTCTTGCATTCCTAGATGCTATAAACATCTGCGACATCTGATGACCGAAAATATCTTCATGAGTTTATGACACAGCACCACACCAATCAGTCTTACAAAAACTCTAATCACAGAAAGAAAAAAAAAAACAACAGCAGTAGACAGTAAGTTCTACATCTTCTCTGAAGTCCATTTCCCTTATAGTCTCTGAAAACCAGATCTTGCTTCCATATTACTGCAAGATGCATGGATGTACACAAATCAGTGCAGTATTTCAAACATAATATTGGCTAGGCTACCATATATTGGTTCCACTTGTTAATCTTCCGTTATAAACAAATTCATACTAAGCTACATGGATTTAATATCCTGTATTACAAACTGAGTTAGTCTGCAAACTTCACAGCATGCTAAAAGAACTTCAGCATGAATTTAAACCCTAAATGGAAAGCAAACAAATAGGAGATCTCTTACAGGTGACTCACTCTGAGTTTGTGCCAGATTAGCACATGACCAGTTTTGTAGAACAGCTATAAGACCTGCTGAACTGACAGAGCTGATTTAAAGATACATCCTCAAAATGATCCTCAATTCTCAACTACTGGTGCAAGAATCACCAGTTCCTTCGTTACACTGACACCTAGCACTGTGTGGAAGGGGAAAAGGAATGAAGATAACCAGGGGAAATTTAATGCAAGCTCAGTGTGCTTTGGAGGCTGGCTTGTGTCAGTAATCAGGCTTGGACACATTCACTAGGGAATGGAATATAATTCTAAATTTGCCTTCGCCCCTTCACCTTTGTTCAACCATGCTCATACCTTGCGCTGAAACACCAAAGCAAGACCCCAGAGTTTGTCCTGAAGGCTTAGCTCTTAAGTGTGAGACCCGTAACATTAATGTATTTCACTTTCCAAAACGGAAGTGTACTTAATATAATTTCTAATTTAGAAGATGTGTTTACAGCAGAATATTTTCAGCAGAATCATAACCCAATTTTTAAAATGCAAATGTGAAGAAAAAAGCTGGTGTAAAGATACACCATGTCATAAGATGACCAGCTGACTCAGCACATGAAATGGTATGCATCTCTCAAGGGCAGACTGGCTTTGAGCATATTCATTGCTACGAGCCCATGGCTGGGATTAACTTCTACCAAAGTGCTAAAGGCAAGGGATCTCTTGTCTAGCAAGCTAAGATGATTAAATCACAGAAGACAGTGATTCTCAGACAAGCTCTGTCCTTGCAGCCTGATTGTTTCTGTATGCTTACACGTCTTATGATCTTCTTAAGGGGCATACCATGCTGCCAAACATTATACTTTGCTGAAAAAGCCAATCTCATCATCTCTTTAATTCAGGCCTAGATGAACAGAAGAAATGCCACTAAACAAACATACTTTAATTATTAGCATAAGAAATAACACAGGTTGCTCAGGAAGTAATGTCTCCTATTTATTTCCATGAAAACTGGAACAGATACAGAGAGCACAACAACACTGGTTGATAGATAAAATTTCAGCTACGAAACACTATTTTTCAACAGTCACCACCATTAGGTATGTATTTTTACCAGTGATGAAGAAGAGCCTGCATGCTGCACTTGTAAAAACCTGCACCACAAGAGGTCCACTGTTGCTGTCACCACTGCTGAAACACACCACCCTCTGCCTCACTGTGCTCTGGTCTCCATCACTGTTCAGCAACTGTCAATGAATGTCAATGGGCTCCATTTTTACTACACGGAGCACTCCAATGACACACCTTTGCTTCATACACACCTCCACATCAGATACCATGGTGCCAGACTCTCTTTACTGCCATCTGTCACATGGCAACTATCTGGAAGGTTCAATCTCTACTGCCATAGCACCAACACCAAGTGTCTTTGACACTGTGTGTCAACACAATAAAATAAGAGGCAGTGCTTATGGAGCACTTTAGTACCCTTTCCATCACTTCTGAATTTTAATGACCCCCAGTTATTAAAAAGTAAGTAAATAGTAGCATGTTTTACTACACATATCATTCAATCACAGTAAGTAAAAACAAACAAAATTCTAGATAATAGTCTCTGCTAATATAGACTTACATCTCCCACATTTCACTACTATTTTAATAACTTCTTACAGCTCTGTGAATGCATTTTCCTTGGAATATGACCATTGAGAAATGTAAGCAAAATAGAGGAAGCATCCTAAATAATCCAATTAATATGGTTAAGAGCTCAATGCGTAGCAATTTCCAACTCCCTAATTCACTTTCTTCCTTCCTCCCTCAAGTCTCTCGAAGCCACAGATCACCAGCCCCCCTTTAAGTGGCACTGCAGCCTAGAACCTTACAGCTCTGGCAGGGAAAGCAATAGGACCAGCCTAGAGAAGTTCAGGTAAATGCCTCTTTTTTTAATATATGGCTTGGTTTTGTAAAAATTCTGAAAACGTACTTTCATCATTTCTCATAAAGCTTTTGGAAAAAAAAAAAAGCATTACAAAAACTGTGCCATATAGTTAAAAAAACAAACAAAAATCCAAACTCTTACCTGAGCCTTCACAGGCTGGGTCTATATCCCAGTGCAGTTCACCACTGGTTGTAATGTCACCAGTACATTCTAAACTGGAACACCACTTAAAGAGGGAACTGAAGAGTCATAAATATGGGAAACCTCAAACAGAAAATAGAAGATAATTTTTAAGTCAATTACATGCTGAAGGATCTTCCTATAGTTTGGACAGTCAGCACCTGACTTCTTCAAAATATCAGCATGTTGCCTCTGTTGCTTTGGTTAAAAAAAAAAAAAAAAAAAAAAAAATTCCTCTTTATACCATGAACACCAGCACCAGTAAGAAAGCCAGGCCTGAAGCAGTGAGACCTGTCTCTGGAGTCCCAAACATAGTAGATAAAATGGACATTAATCCAAGAAGATAAACACTTGTATTAAAGATTACGAATAACTGCTCTGTGCAATGATTAAGCTCTCTGTTAAATATTTTTGACTTCAAACAGACATTTCTGTATGTGCACATTAAAAAATAATAGTAATAAAAATGCAGTTTTTCTCATTCAGATTACCTAAGATACATGCATACTGACAGCTAAAGGAATCTCTGATGCACATTGATCTATAACACCTTTGTTTTTTTCCTCTTTCACAATCAAATGATTCTTATTTAACTTCTCATAATGCATTTTATTAGCTTAAGAGTTCTAGAAAAGAGAAGTAAAGATCTCTTCAAAACCTTGCTTCAGTTTATAACCCATCACTGATTTATGGTGAAGTCTACGCAGCACACCTGGACTGGGCAGGGCAGCACTAGAAACAGTTATAGAGGTTTAATTTCATTGTAGTTTGCACATAGCCTAGTTATGCTTGTTTAAATACTATGGAGGATCTAAATGTGAAGAAATACCTCAAAAACATAAGCCAAGGCCAGTCCTTACTGGAGAAAGTATGTAAGAATACAGAACAGTTCCTTCTTAGCGCAGCTATCTAAAAAAACCTTTTTCTGTTCAATGTAAAAGACTTGGAAGACAAAACAGGCCTGATACACACAGTACATTCTGCTTGTGCAGCTCTGCCAAGTTTACACAATACTTCATGCCAGGCATCCACTTAAACAGAGTTTCTTTGCCATCTGAGGATGGTGCACCTACCCAAGGTCAGACGGGCCACTGCGAACTATGACTTAGTTAATTCACTTTTGCAACCAACAGCATCCTAAGCTTCTGGCCACATTTCTCTAAATGTAAGGGTTAATTGCTACAGATAAAGCTTACAAATCTTCATGTAACTACTACAAAACCTTAGGCTAGGATAATTACCACACAGTCCAATAGCATGACAACCTTTCCTATTAAACCAGTAAGAGCTTTCAGCTCATGACATTTTCTACTGGAAATTTTATGTGACTCAATTACTTTTCTCCCTCTGTGTCTACAGCTATAACTGAACTCCTGTAATTGCAAAGACAAGAACTGAGGATGACATGTGGGGCAGAAGAAAATGTTAGCGTTACACTGACTTCAAAAGAAAACTGCATGTTTAAATTGCACCCATGTAGGGACTGTGAACTTGCAGCTCTGGGCCAGACAGAGCCTATGACTTCATTTCAGACAATAGCAGACAAATTTTGGGATTTAATTTTATTTTTTTTTTTAAGCTTACAAACTAGTACGTGCCTGAAGACTGAACATGTGCCACAGAACACAGCATTGAGCGCAACTTTGCAGGAAAAAAGTAAGAGATTGCACACTGCTAGAAAAGAAACACTGCTAGACATGTCACCTTTATATTTACTTCAACACAAAGTAAGCTCATTGTTCACGCAGCATGCAGCTCATTCATTTCTACACAATGCCATGACAAAGTCTGCTTCAAATTTATATGCCATAGGGTTTAACTCTGTATTCATACATTCGTATGCATGATTCTCCCCTAACTTACAACTTTCTCAGAAATGTCTCTTTTTATTATAAATAGAAACAGAACTTTTTATATTTACTTTTAATCTCAGTAAGATGGAAAAGATGATTGTGAAAGGAAGTGTCACTATTTTAAAAAAGAGTGTATCTAGGGACTTTGGCTTGCTGAAAGTATTTGCACTGTGTTTTCTGTAAAAACACAGCATTTAGGAGTGCTGTTTCTGCTCTACTATATAGTTACCTTGATTTAGAACATATGCTAAACCAAAGCCATCTTACTACCCGATACAACCAACAGCAATTCAATAACAAGCGTGGAAGCAGACTGCTCAACTCAGGACAAAGCAATTTCTCTAACAAACATTGCAAATACTAGGAAACTTTGCACGTAGGAAACTTTCTCCCTATAGTGGTGTTGCACTATATAATCCAAACACGTTAGACAAATGAAATCTGTCATTATTACTCTTTCCCTAACCATGTGATGATAAACACCACCACGTGCAAGGTAAGAAAAGCAGCAAATGCAGGAACTCTCTTGTTCTGGAAGTGAAGCAGTCTCAGCAAACAATAGTAGCACAAACTATAACTACGTTAGCTGCTTAAGAAACCTTGACAAATGACAACCTGATGTCTGAGGGTCCTGTGAGGAGCCCTTAGAGGATGACTGATCAGAGGAGGACTGTGGTGCAGAACCCTCAGCTAGCTCTCGCTGTCTCTGTTGTTCTGCCTTCTTAAGCCTCAGCCGCTGCAGACCCCTACGGATTATAGCTAACTCGGGTCCCATTAACTCTGACAAATGGAAGGAGAAAAAAAAAAAAAAAAAAAGTATGTAAAAAAGAAGCATCAAACATACAATATACAGAAATAGGGGTGGAGTGGGGAACTGACTGAAGAGAGAAGCAATGGATATTATGTGTAATTAAAGGGATAAAAACTTTACAAATCAATCTACCGACATCCAGAAATTACAAAATAAAATATTTAAATTGCTTTTGTCATCTTAAATGCTCAAATCATTGGAGTCAGAAGTTCAGAGCTTGTGTCATATTCCCCTCCCCATCTACAGCACTTAAAACATTTGTCAAAGAATTGCTAAAGAAGAAAACAAATAGATCCTGACTGATTCAAAATAAGAGAAATCATACAAGCATTCAACAAATCAGAACATTTATGGTGTAAATTTTCAAAATCAATGTCAAGGCTTTCTGGTCAGAAATACACAACACATTTAAATACTGTTTCAGCCAAAACAAACCTGTAAAAAAAGTAAAGTGTGGATCATTGAGAGAGTTGATAGAACAGCATCTAACGAAAAAGATTTTTATCATGAAACTCCATATTTATCTTACATTCCCAATCAGTGAGGATTCAAAGTCTGTAAACATTGTTAATTGGTCCTACAGAGAAAACAATTTATTGGATCATAAACATTTCTTAACATCATTCTCTTAATAATCTACTCTTGCAGATTTCTCTTTAGAGACTTCATTGTTTTCATCATTCTGTCTTTACACATTTGTAAGCTATAGCATTTTGGTGTGTACCAGGTCACTGTCTTGCTTAACAATATTTTTTTTGAAAACTTCTATAAAATCAAATGTACTGAGTCATTTTTCATTCTGTATACGCTCTTTGCAGATTTCCTCCACTTAAACAAGTGCATAACAAGCACTTCTCTTCATACTACACAAATTGTGTCTTTATTAACAATAGCTGAAAGCACAACACTGATCTGCTTACTGCTCTCACCTGTAAATACAGTACTGTCAAGAAGCTAATTCAGACTCATACATTCACAACAAATTCTATGACTAGTTCTGCTATAAACTGTTATCCTAGATCTATTCTGAAAGCATTTTTATCAAGGACACCCTGCAGTACTCTGAAGACATGAGGAAATCTGCAATTAAAAAAAAAAAAAGCCATGAAATCTTAAAATATTATGGAAAATTACATTGGTACCTCACCTTTCAATAAAACAAAAGCTCCAAAAATATTTTGTAACTCTATTCACTCAGTGAAGCAAGCAAATTTTAAGTTCTGTTTCATAAGAAGAAATAAACCCAAAGTTATAATCTAATCATTCAGCACATTAGTGGCAGGCACTAGTTAATAACCACAAGTCTTACGGTAGAATGTTCTACCACTTCTGGAAAGCGTATCTTACCAGTTTAGGTTGATAAGGTATAACAAGAAGAAAAAACATACAGTTCTTCAGAGGAGTATGGTATTAAGGAGATTTTCTAGGCATAGTTTTCATGTGCGATGAACATTTGTGGAAATTAAAAATCCATAAATACTAGAAAATGTTTTTTTTAGGAAATAGCAAATATCAATAGAGTCTAAAATTGCAGTTTTCAGTACTTGCTGCTGATCTACTGCCATGCACTTCAGAGACAGTTCCAATTTAAGACATAATATGAATTCAAACTCAAAATATAAAGAGAGAACCATCATGCTAAAGTAATAACTACTATGTGGACTATATACAACACCTTTTAAGACATTTCAGAATCTCTAAGCAAATGTTTATATTGCCAGCAAACGGAGAAAGGAAAGAAAAGCTGAACAGAAAAAAAACACCATAAGTTATTGTCCCTTTCCCATTCAAAATTTAAAGACAAAGTCACCTTGTATCATCAGTACATTTTCTCTTTCTCCCTAATGACAAGCACTAAAGTTTCCACCAATTATCCTATCGTGTAAAGTATTTTTCATATGAACTGAGAGAGCAGGTTACTGAGATGTGTCTCACAAATTTTGCTGATTATCTGCACCTTATTCAAACATTTCAGTTGCATTCCTCTAGAATTTGCATTCTCTCATAGAGAGTTTTCCCAGCGAAACCCAGCACTGAACTACTTTTGCATCAGCTCCTTTTTAAAGCAGTACTTTTTTTCCCCTCCAAACATTAAGAGATGAAGAAGTACACACCTCGAACCTGAAATGCTCAACACATGGTGTATTTTCTGGTACACCATACTAACAATGTATTTCAATTACAGTGTATGTATATACACATAAATATATAAAAATATATATAAAGGTGCAATTTCATGAGTCGGTTTACTACCATAAACTGCACTCAGTATAGAAATCTGTAGAAATGAGTTATGAAAAGCTGCTTATAAGCCTGTTTTCATGGTATCTCCTCTTCCTAAATAAGTCACTACCCTGCTAACACTTTTGCATTAACATTCAAGCTTCGATCTGCCACAATTTTAAGCAAAGCAATGCCTGAAAGCCTCTCATTTTTCCTCTTTCATTTTTCAAGCTTCTTCCTCAGTCATCCAACTTTTACAAGATGTCTCTACCTGACCTCCCAACTCAACTCTCACTACATTTAAACTACTTTGTCTAACATCATTCCAACCTATTCTGTCACCCCAAAAAAGTAGCAGGTTTTATTCATGTCTAAATGCAGCTGCCCATACCCAGGGAATTCAGTTCTTAATACAGCATGCTTTCATATTCATAAACTAGAGGCTGTGAGAAAATAAACTACCATGATGGAGAACCATCATGGGTTACTGTAAGAAGATTAACATTGCAAAAAGAAAATTTACATTCAAGCCCACCCATTCTTAATTCCATTGCTACTGCTCTGCTATGACCTCTGCCCAGTACTGAATCTGTCCATCCAAAGACTTCTTTTACAGCTTAACTGTTTTTAGAAATGGTTACAGACTAGCCAGGATACTTACTAGGTGTGCTTAGTTAAAACTAAAGCTGCAAACTATTTGAAGGTGACACTTGGCCCTAACTAAAATCTGCATATGGTGAAAAGAATACCAGATATGGAGGACTTTCTTGAAGCAGCAACAGTAGCCACCTCACACTCTGTTTAGGCGTAGTCAAAGCAGCTATAAAACATTATAGAGTAAGTCAGAAAGTATCCATTCTCAGTCAATAAAAGAAAACCACTACAACCACCACCACTATCCCTTTCAAATCTGAATACAGAGTCCAAATTAACAATGGGAAAGAAGAAATGCTCTTAAAGAGCTGCACTGAATAACAACAATTTCAGCTTCATGCTAGCATCATAAACTTTTACTTAGAAATTCAGACATGTTCAGAGAGAAAGGGGAAAACACTTGTTAAAGGTGCCTTCTTTAAAAAGGTAAGATAGAAAACATGTAATCCCAGAAATGTTCTTTACTGCATTATCATTATGCAAACCACAAATTTACTGCTGGGGACTAAAAGCTTCCAGTACTGATCAAATTTTCCAGCATTTACTCACTGAAATAGTATCTAGATTCCGTGCATTGTATGTTCCTATCCTCACAGCTTATTTTCTTTAAGTAACATATTAGAATAATTGCAAGGTTCAACTGCTCAGAATAATGTATTTAATGAATTTCAATGTACATCTTTAGCTTCTCTACCTTTCAGATAGCAAATACTTCATTGTTTCTCAGCTGTGACAGAGATTTTGATAGCAGCAACCACAGTACACTGAATAACAATTTTTTTTCTGGGAAATTGCCATTTCTTTATCCCACTTAAAAAAAAAAAAAAAAAAAAAAATCAAATTCTTGTGCAACTCCAAGGGCTGTGGCACCTTTTCCTGCATGCACAAAGGCAGGTGAAAGCAAAAGGTGCTCTTCTGCCCAAAGAAATTTCTGACACTGACTGTGAAATATATTTTCTTCCCTCACTACAATAAAGATATAAGACTATTTAAAACACACGAGTTCCAAGATACACAATCTTAAAAAGTAACACGTAGCACAATTTATTGAATGATAATGGAATCTCAGGCAGAATAAGCCCTATGTAGATACTCTTAAGAAGCAAAAAATAACACTGCTGACAGATATATACCTCTTACAAATAAAAACAGGCATAAGTTCTGCTGTTCACTGCACTGACACTGCTACAGCCAAATCACAGTTGAAGGAGGCATGACGTTACTCACATTCTATGAAGAGAACAGTGAATTTGGAAGAGGGAGGGCAGAATAAAAGCAGTAGTTTCTTATTTTCAGGGCAGAATAAAAGCAGTAGTTTCTTATTTTCATTTTAAATGACACTAACGCTTATTCCTTTTTTACATTTCCCTCTTCAGGCCAATGTATACAGTTGATGTTTTCACTCTTTCTTTAAACTGAGAGCTTACCGTCACTTGGTAACTATAAAATAGATAGTCTTACTAAGTATGAGAAGATAAAAATCAATTACCCAAAATATCCTAAAATAAAATGGCTTATCGAATTGTGACAAGATGGATTTCTTCTCACCAGACTGATGGAGCACAGGTTGTGATGAGGCCCCCAAAGAAGGCCTTTGTTCATTATCAGGAGAGGACAATAATGAAGTTGAAGGGGGACTTCCCGTTGAAGATGATGTTGAAGGAGCTTGGGCTGACATTGTAGAAGATGAAGATGATGGAAGTTGTTCAGAACCATCTACTTCCATCGCAGTTTCTGATTCTGTACTAGGTGGCACATTATTACTAGCAGAAGCATCTGTCCGATTAGTCCCACCTTTGATGAAAAAAAGGCAAGAGAAACAAAGTCTCAAGGGTAAACTTACTGTTTCTATAGAATCTTTTTCATTATTACTCATACAGCATCCACATGCTTAGTTCTTCAACGTGCACTAAAAATTTTTAGTTTATACCTCAGAAAGACTGATAATCAAGGCCTTTATATCCAGTATAAGCATAATCTCTAGTGCAATTACTACTCTTGGAAAAAAGGAAATAACCTCTGGACCGCGATCTTCCTCGTCCTCGATTACTTTGTGCAACTTCACTAGCTTCTTCAAACCATCTTGACAGCATGTCTGACATCCTCTGCATTAGAGAGACGTTAGGACTCTGTTCTCCTGTAAAAACAGAGATGCTTAACATTTCACAAAAGCATTCATTTTCCTCCCCATTACTTCTTCACTTAAAAAAAAAAAAGCACAACAAATTACGTAACTGGTGATTCCCTGAACCAATGCCACTTTACAACATCACAGCACAAACTGCCAGCTGAACGTGGCATTACAAAAAAAAACTAAAATAGTTCCTTCCTCTCATAGCTCTCCACTATTCTCTGCTTTACAATTATCTTTTGTAAACATGACATTGTGAAGTATATGTCATTCAGTTCCAGATGTTGGTTAGAAAAGAAAGCCCAGATTTTTATGTTTTACCAGGTAATTATAAAATAAGCAATTTTATAACAACAACAAAAAAAAAAGACACGTTTTTAACATTTCCAGAGGGCTCCTTCATGATTTTGATCTACATCATGAGGACAGTTAAGTAAAACAGCAGAGTTCTTCTAAGGTTTTTATTTTTACATTTTGGATCAAGTTTCAGAATTGCAAAGACACTAAAGCAACAAAATCTTTGCACATGTTATCTGTAACATAATCCAAAGCATTTTCTTCTCAATTAATTTCTTGTTTTATTACAAAGGAAACAAAATTTGTTTTGAGGGAGAAGATTCCATTTGTCAACGGCTGAAATGGAGCCCCTGAATCTTTAATTGTGTATTGCATTCTGTTCAGTGTTTTTAATCTATTGATTTTCTTGAACATACTGACATCTCGTAACAGAAAACCATTTCACTGGATGCACCATTCCACACTACGTGTTTGCTCCTTAGCCTCTATGGCAATATGCAAAAGTTTTGTAATCAATGATCGTAGGAAGTGGTATCACTGAGAAGTGCAATTACTTATCAAGATGCATACAAAAGAAATATTTTAATAGCCTGCAGACATAAACTGACATTCAAAGATCCTGGAATACACTCAGCAAAAACATGTACATTAAAAATATGCCTCTTTCAAAGATCAGCTCTGCTACCTGCACACATGTTATGGAAGCTGAAAGACTGACCAAACATCTGGAGCAATGAGTTGCCTGTGAGGGTTGCATATAATTTTCACTGCTCAGAAACACCTTGAAAACATCATTAGACCTCGCCTTTGTATTATTTGCTTCACAGTTGAATTTAAGAGACAGCATTGGTAATGGAGAATGGGAAAAAAAATAAAATCAACCTATACGTAAAAAGCAATGCCCCTCAATCTTACCCCAATGTCCACATCTATCCTCATTTCCACACTGTGGGTCTCTGACCTTTCCCTGGGATTCCCCTGTTCTCTTTCTCCACATCTAGCAGAAAAGTTCTGGCCTCAAATGTTTAAAACACAAAATGGAACGCAACAGCTGATAAAAACATGCAGGAGGTGGATAATGAAGTGAAGAGGGGAATAACAAACAGTTAACAGAAAAATAAGTCACAGGTCACCAGATGCCTGACTAATTCAATTCAACTACTCTCTTGAGCTCATCAGTTATTATTCTATCAAATAACACACAGTAAAGATACAGAAAGTTTGCTGTGACAAAAGAAAAATCTAACCAATATCTATATTGGAGGAGTCCTTTTTTTCAAGATTTACTTTCTCTCTGGAAGATTTACTTGATATGACAGGGAAATGACAAGGAGAAGAATGCTGCAGAACATTAACTGATGGAAAAAAACCAACCAAACAAACTCAGATAGAAAAAATCTCTGAGCAAAAGCAAATCAGTAACTAATTTTGATGGGAAACACCTAATATGAGGAGATACACAAACAAGTCTGGGGAATTATGAAAGCACTAAGTGAGCAGAATGCTGCCCTCGATATACATCAGCCTGACTGAAGAAACTTTTCTTGTGAGAGTATTTGCAATTTAGACAGTTTTTAAAACAGCATTACCTGTTCAGTTAAAAACAAACACGCTTAAGACCTGACTGTTTCTTAAAACACGTGGACAGTTAATTGGAGCATTTCCATATTTCAGGAACACTTTAGAAAAACTGAGAAAAACAGTTTTCTCAACTGAAAAGAAACAAACAATCCTTCCCCCTCCAGACAATCCCTACTCCACAAGAGCAAACATGATTACCATCTCTCTCCCGTTCACTCTCAGGCCTTGCTCTTGGGCCAGTATCTGACCAATCCCCTCTTAGCCGCAAACGTTTAACAGGAGGTTGCCGTAACTGGAAAAAAAAAAAAAAGAAGAAGAAGAAGAAGAGAAGAAAGCTATTATAAAGTCATTTATATTGAGCAGTACAAAATTTCAAGTTTAAAAATAAATGCTATATTCCCATTTTCTTAAGATACAAAAACTTGTCACACAAAATAAATTTGTATCAGCCATATGCTCAGTTCAACTATGAATAAGCACAACACTGTATCAAAAGGCAGCAATAGTTTTAGCTATACAGAATTTCATCAGCTTAAATCAATGGCTCTTAAAACTATTACAGCTTCTATTTTACTCGATATTAACTTTACTGTATTAATTGAGGCATTCCATACTGAACAATAACTCAGCCTGAATTCCACAGAAATATTCGCCCCTTCACGCTAACAATTACATGCAGTCTCATCCTGATGCAATGTAGATTTGTATTCAAGCAAGGGGGAAAAAAAACCATGCAGTCACTGTCAAAGAAATGTTATGAACAAACTTTAAAAATTACGGGATAGCTTGATTTTTTTAATTAAAAAAAAAATTGTGACAAATAGTACAAAAACAGTACTACACAGTTAGTGCTACTTCTGCTAACATGAAAAGAAACAGCCAGAGAGATTTGTACATTCAAAAAGGCAGTTCAGACTTGGGAATGAAGCATGTTGGCTGGCTATTTATGGTTTATAAAAACAAAACCAAACAACAAGTAACAACAATAGTGACCAGTTGTGCTGTCAATTTGAGATTAAATGCAAAACCCCTGAAAGTAAATTAAAGCATTAATGTTCAGGAGCCAGGAAATTCAGAAAGAAAGCTTCACATTCTTTCTGCTCTGTAGAACTTAACGCAAGACTGAAATAAAAATACCATTTAAATGAAATTATCTAACAAAATGAAATTGCAGAACATATTCTGTGCGTACAGAAGAATATTTAGGATCTGATATTAATATGTAGTCACAATCTTCCCTCTCTGTAGAAAAGCAGGCAATCAATTCTCCACCTTGCATTAGATTGCAATTACATAGGAAAAAGAAAGATGAGAAACCATTTATTTGTGGCATCATTTTTCTGAATTCCTCTTTGCATTCCTCTGTCTTGATCAGGCAACAGTTTAACTCAGCTGGACATTTTTCCTCAATCCTACAAACCTCTATCCAAAACTATATTTGCAAAAAAGAACCAATCATCCAGAGGAAATGGGCTTAGATGGAGCATTCAGAAGCATGGGCATGGAGTGAGGGCAGAGATGTTGTAGGTATGGACACAGGAGGACAACACCTTCTCAGCAGCTCACCAGCTCACTACCCTCAGGCTTAAGATAAAGACCTCTGGACCCCAAGGATTTTATGAAAGGGGGAATGTAAAGCCAGAAAAATGGAGTGGATGGTTGGGGTTGGGTGCAGGAGGAGGGTGAGAGAAATATAATTAATGGTAGTTAAAGAGATTTGTTTTAAATTGATCAGAAAAGTTAGACTAGGAGGGTCAACATTACTGTAACTGAATAGATAATAAACAATTGTGTTTTGGTTACATTGCAGAGTCCTTTAGTTCTGCTCTGTTGTGATGGATCACCTCTCTGGTCTACATGCTCTGTATCCCCTTATTTCTGTCCTTAAATGATAGCTTCTATCCAAGTGTTTATACTTGACATCAAGGAATTTGCTTTTGATGGTGAAGAAAATAACAGAGAATACACCTCAATTACTTGCCATCATTGCTAGTTTTACATCCTGATAAATGCTTTCTCATCTTTAGAAGAGGGAAAAAAGTCAAGAATGAAAATCAGAGTGATAAAATATTTTAAGAATACCATTCTCAAAATAAAAGTCAACACGTAGTAGTACACTGTCAGCTTCACAAGACAGATGAGAGAAATAAAAGGCTAAATTTGTGCCTCTGTCTACAGAGTATGCAAATTTTGTCACACAATTTGACAATCACATCTCAATCTAGGAGCAACATCTATCTTCAACTTCAGCCTACTACAGAAAACAGAGGGAAAAAGTTTCTTTTCCATTTCATACATGTGGGCAAATGGTACATTCTGCTTTCAACTATTAGTCACTCTCTGCTTTAGTCCTCAACTCTACATCCTATTATAAAAATACTTTAACTGTTTTCATAAAAATCTGTTCAAACAATTACATTTTGTAATTTCATTGACATTTCAAAAGGCATTTGGGCTAAATTTTTCAAATTGCAGAGTGTATCTTGAATTTTATATAGTTCTACAAAATTCTGCTGTTTAATACGACTGAATGATATGGGTACAACAATAACTGAGATCAAGATCCTTGTTCACAAGTATTATGTTAAAGAGCTCTGTGTCAAAGGCCCTATAACATAACTCTTCTTCCAGTAACTGTCAGGGTTTAAACCTCCCTATGAGCTAGGAACAGCAAAGTTTCTATCAAAATTTCTCCAATTTCTTACATTACTGGAACCCACAAGTACACAGTAATCATGGTGAAAATGCTAAATTATCACCAAAATAAAGGTAAGAAATGATCTGTGGTTCTCATTTCAACACAGGTACACCAAATTCTCATCAGCCCTGAGAAGAGGCAACAATTTTTGTTTTATGAAAGCAAAACACTCCAAAGTTTTAGGTGCAAAAAACATTGCCAGATAATCAGAATCCACAAGTTGAATTTTTCTGAACGTATCTCCCATCTTGTATGTCTGGATTTAGTCACAGAAAAATTATGGCTAACTATGAATCTCTATGGCACTGGCTTACTTCTAATGTCAAACTGGGAAGAATTGAAAGATGGTGATTTTACGTGTGTCCTTCTAGAAAAAACTTATTTTATGAATAGTCAGGGTATCAAGTTCCATTAATATCAGCCTATGCTGAACTTCCCATATATGGGAAGCAGAATATTTGCCTTTCTCCGGAAAAACCAAGACCTGTTTATTCCTCACTGTTCCTTACCAAAATATACAAGACCCAAAAAAACTAAAACCAAAAAATCCCATATCCCCAACGCCAATACCGTAGATACTCTAAAACTATTTTAAAAACAGCATTTGAGAATCAAATGATGGCTCAAGATTCATTTCAAGGCACATACAACCGGTAGGATTGACCTGGGGGTGGGGAAGACGACATGAAAACAGGTCATCTTAATCACTTGCCTCTTCTCGTCTCTCCTCGGAGGAAGGAACTTTAAGTTCTCGTGCTGTATCATCCTTGGGATCAAACAAGTATATGTAATCTGACGAGTAGCTAACAAGGATCTCTTGACCATCTTCACTATAACATAGAGACGTTACTCGGCAAGATTTGTTATTGAGATGAGGAGGAACAAAACGTGCCACCATTCCAATAGTTCCTCTGCCAGCATAATTCCCTGTGTGAGAATGAGAAAGAATACATTCACTATTGTAAATTTTCTACAAGCAGTTTCAATATACTCCTTAGTTAACATCCAAAGATGATCAGAGAATAGTTGAATATTTAAGCAACCTGCAGTTTTTGTATTAAATTGGTTCTGAGGAGTGACAAATCAGATCTTCTGGTGTACAAAAAAAAAAAAAAAACCTGATATGAAGAATACAGAAAAAGATGAAAGCATACAAACAAACATATGTCACATACCAATCACATGATGGGGTGTGGATACCATCCGTAATGTTTAGTATAGATGGAAATTTAGGAACCAAAGAACTTGTACATAATAATAATGCAATCATGTAGCATCACACAAATCTGCAAGGAAGTCATTCTATAGAACTTGGAAATTTTAAGGACATCTTTACTTTCTAAATGATCTAAAAAAATACCAGTTTTTCCTTCTTTGAGACATGATACTGTCACTGTGAGACTGCAGAACTACACAATACATTGGGTTTACATGACAACCAACTTCCATTCTACATGCTAAAACAACCTTCAATTCCAGTATTACAAAGTTGTGAGCAGACAAAAATTACCTATAAGACAGCTTAACAGAGCAAAATAGACCGTTCCAAAAATCTATCATCTGCCACATAACTGCAAGGCATAACTGCTTTGGGTTAGCACACAGAAAAGCACATCCTTGACAAATTCAGAGTTTGCCACCTCACTGCGTAAGGACTAAAACTGAAAGTCTAGAATGAAAAAAACTAGTTTGCTCACTAGCAGCTATCATGGGATACCTCATTCTTTAAAACAAATAATAAAAAAAAAACAATAGCAAAATCAATAAGTCCAGAAAATCTACAGTCTTCAAATAGGCTTGCATACCTGAATTCATCTTTCTGTTGTACTGTAATAGGGTTAGGTGTAAAAGTGAAAAAGCAGTGGTGTTTTTGTATTGTTTTTGTTGGGTATTGTTTAGTTTTTAAACAAAACTTCTGGGAAAAGCAGAAACTAACATTTACATTCTACATTTCAATCAGCCTCCCCGGAATCTGTTCCTCAGACAGTTTTCAGGAACATTGCTTACAGCTATAATAGGAGGGAGAAATCAATAAGATTTCTTATGAAAACATTAGCCTGATTAAAAGATTGTTTATTAATGTTCATTAAGTGATCTTTACTGTTTTTTTTCCTCTTCCATTACAACAATCAACAGGAAATGCTGCAAAAATGACTGTGACACCGATTACCTTTATGAATGTGTATACACAGTTACGTATATTAATTTCTACGTAAACTGAAACATACAGTTATCATGCACTACAAGTAGGAGATATGTTAGGACTACATACTCACTGTAACTTGTCACTTAATTTTTTTAAATAAAATCCTTAGCATCTAAAGACTGCCAACTTCTAACTGTACAATTTGTAACTTTTCAGAAAAATTTTGTTAGATACAGCAACAACTTTTGCAAAGCTAAAGAGATTGTGTGACGTTATAGACTATTTCAGATCCCTTCCAGTAAGGAACTTCCTTATTTGAAGATTCCTATATTAGCAAATATTAAAGTGAAATGACTCCATTATTGAAAAGCATAGTTTTCAGAGAAGAAAGCTCCACTTCATTCAGTATTACATTTCTGCCATTCACCACTTATTTTGACCAAAAAAAAAAAAAAAGAACCTGAAATTGAAATTGCACATAGAGAAGCTTACTATAAAGCATGGTTCTCACCTGTTGCTCTTGTACCAAGCATTCGCCGATCATATATTCTTACTGAGCTATCAGAACAACCCACAGCAAGATAGTAGGGGATTGGTGGGCAGATAGCAACAGAAGTGGCAGCACGACGGCAGTTTATTAAAATATCCTGGAACAAAAGAAAACAAACCCACCATTCAAACAAGAGCTCTGAGCATCTGAAGTATAATTTTATTTGTTACTTTAGGACGCAGGCCCATTCATCAAGGAGTAATTCAGAAAGTCAGGTCTGGCCCTGTGAAGATAGGCTGAAAATATGCCAAACAGAAAACCCACAGCAGAGAAGGAAAGCTATCACAGAAATAGATATATTGTGACATTAAATGAAAAAGAAAAACAAACCAAACAAAGCAAACTAACAAAGGACAAAGCACAACAACAAACATTTGAGAAAAGATAAGCATAACAAATACAGATTTATAAACTAGCTTGCACATTGTATTTTCCTATGCAAACACAGGTAACTGCATTTAGTTGGAAGAGTACCAAATACGTCAAAACATAATTAGAGTGGATTTCATCTGCAGGCAGATAATTGGATAGATTTTAATAGGACAAGGAACCAATGAAATTTCTAAAACTCAGACATGCAACATAATTAATCAAGAGCAGTAATCTGGTGTCAGTTTTTTCTTCAATTCAATACTGAATTCCAAACAGTGGAAATAACTAGTATCTTACCTTCTGGGGAGTAATACCAGTGACTAATTTGATCTAGTATAAAGTCATTATGAAATCTTTTCTTATAGAGGGACAAAAGATGGCCAAAAACACAAAAGTGCAGCTGATTTTCATCAATAATATTTGCCTCCAACTGCACAGTCCACAGTAACTAATGTAAACCAAACAAATAGATTCAGTTTCAAGGCAGAACCTTCTCTACAGCATCTGAATCATCACACCACGGAAGCTCCTAAAGTGATATTACAATTTAGAAGAAAGGGGAAGCAAAAAAAAAAAAAAAAAAAGAAGAAGAAAAAAAAAAGGAATGCTCAAACTTTTTTTTTTAATGTTTCTTGGGAAATATGTTGTCATCTCCACCAACGACCCTGAAATCTATTATTTCTAAAAGCCTTACCAGAATTCAAATCCTATGTTTGTATGATGTACAGCTCTACATTTAGGTCATCTTTATTAAAAGATTTCACTCTTACATCTTTACAATCTTCCTTTGTGCAACTTGTTTTGATTCGAGTATCAAACCATCGTACAGTGCCATCTTCACCGCAAGAGAGGAAAGTATAGGGATCATTTGGTACTGTCATAATCTGCCCAGTAGAGAAAGAAAAAAAAAAAAGTATTAACAATTAAGGAAATAACATTCATTTGAAAATAAAAGCATCAATGTTTTGAGCCACAGTAGTCCCTGATCCAGTAATGACTCACATTAAGCCTTCTACTGAGACAAAGAAGAAAACTGCATAAATATTTACTGAGAATGAAGAAACATTGAAAGTCTGAACTACAGAAATTAAAACAAACTGTGTGGTATGGGACAAACAGAAAGCATCTATAGAAATAATTATAACATCTGACCTATTATTTTGTAATAAGCAACAAATATCAATTTGCTACAATAATTCAATGGAAGCCCGGTTTATTTTCTGTGAAGTATAAGAAGGCAATAAAAACCAAAATCCTCCAAGTCTGAATGACATGAACCTGCTAACAGCTTTTATTCCCACTGTTTGGGAATAAAAATTCCCATTGTTTATTTGTACTCAAAACAGTCCCCTGAAGAAACTCTGAGTAAAAGGCTGTTACTAACCTACTTTCATTTTATTTTTCTACTTTCTAAGAGAGCACTGTACTGCACCATTATATTGATCTCAGACCCACTCAAACTAGGAAACACTCAGACAGCATCTTATGTGTGGTTTCATTCAGGAAGCCCTCCTTAAGACAAAATAAAAACATCACGTTAAAGCTGAATTCTACTGGTTGATGAACACACAAAAAGTGACATGATTCTACATGCCATCCCCTAAACACAAAACAGGATATTTTAGAAATTGGTAGCATCTTTATTTACTTACAATACTGCTATCAGTAACTTAACAGAAATTTACAGAGCTCCAAAATCAGTAATTGTCTAATACACTAATTGAACATAAGCAAAAGTTCTATTCTTTAACACTTCTTATGCAATGCTTTTTTTTTTCCCAAACTCTTAATGAAAGTAACCTGTAGATATCTGTAAATCTTACTACCTAAAGTGAGATTACAAAGGTAATCTCCGCAGGATTCAACAATTCTTCACGTAACACTCTGTATATTACTTAAAACAATGCATGCTCTGCCAATTTTTACTGACAACAAATAAGAAATTAAACAAGGAGAACAAAGTCAAGGTTTAAATACCAATGGAATAACAAAATTCTGAGCTATGACTATGATTCTTGCATACATTAGTGTATCACATTGAAAAGAGCATTTTTTCACTACACATTTACTCAAATTAATAATTTCATTAGTGTAGTTATTTAAGCTAGGAATTGCTCTTCAATCCACTAAATCTTCTCAGCATTTACCTGCATTGTGATGCAAAACTTGCAATGAAAACAATCTACTTTGTCTCAAGTAATAAACTGAATACAGTATAATAAATCAAATTCAGACTTCTAGCCACGTTTTATGTTTGTTCCTAATTATACCATTTCACAGTATAAATGTAAAAGCAAGGTATGTACCTACACTTGGATATGCCAATTTTTATGTGTGGTACTTATGAATACATAACAAATTCATGAACACTAAAATAAAGACACACAGAGGTACATACCCCAATAATAAAGAGTTGTTGATAATAGATTTAAGCTCAAACAACATATTTGAGTTCAAACATTATATAAAAGCATTTTGCCCTGTCAATTGCATGTATTCAAAAAAATACATGGTGATATGATAATTTTACTATTTTGAAAATGTTAAGGTAAGAAAGGAAAAGTTGGAACTTGATGATCTTTAAAATCCCTTCCAACTCAAGCCATCCTATGAATCATTCTGCAATGCTATGGAAGTGCTGTACATTCTCCTCCTATAATGCAATTAACATGAGCAGTAATAAAGCATTTGGCTGAATAAAAATGAACTTCCAATAGCATTATATAAACAAATTTTCCTACTTACTCTGTTCTCCCCAGACTTAAAAAATTGTAGACAATTATCTTGCAGTTCACAATGATCTAAACAAATTTCTATATTATTCTTTTTCAGTGTTTTTGTACTGCCTGAAACAGTCACAATTTTCAACTTTAAAGTGCAGTATAAATCCAAAATGCATTCAAATTTATAATTAGTACCTCCAGGTCAAATTACGTTAGCTTTTGTTATCTAGAGAATCTGATGAGTCGAAGTTCTATATTTAATACAATGATGTGGTTATATACAGCTGGGTAGCAATATCTCAACATTTTACATGACTTTCCCACTCCAGAAAACTCTCAGTGATTAAGTTGTATTACACCAGAAGCTGAGGCTACACCTCAGTCATTTGCTTCAAAAGAACTGCTTTTACTCCATTATACTTCCACACATCAAGGCTCAAACAAAAAAGGTCTGCTATGCCTAAACAGGCTTTTAATGGTCAAATATCAAGCAGATTTTAAAAAGTAACAGAATTTAAAGCCTGAGCAAAATATTTTATGAGCCTACATATCAAAGGCTTTTTGAAGATAGTTATCAACTTTTTGATACGTAAAACCTCAGTGTAAAACAGGCTAAGAAAATTCTTTTCAAGAAAAGACATTTTTAAAACGGTCAGTGTTGTAATGGGGACTGGGAAATAGCTTCCATTATTGACATTTTAAGATAATGAAAATAGTATTGGATGTCATCATTCAAAACAACAGCAATGCCCTCTTTTAAACATTATTTGCTGAATAAAATAATCTCCAATACTACCATTTTGTGTGTACAATACAGCAGTCAAATGGCCATACTCTCTTCAACTAATGATTTTGAGCTGTATTCCAAACAAACAGACATTATCTAAACATAAGATGATTATGTGGTAAATAGTAAATCTTTAATTTTGATTTGCTGGTCTGTTGGGCAGTCCTTATTTCTTCTAAACTGTTTCTAAATCTTTTTTTTTTTTTTTTTGGTCTATTTTGTGGAGTTTAATTTTTTTTCTTATTAAATTAATATTTGCCTTTGCCATCAGGTCTAATAGTTGGAAAAACACATACTATTGCTACTGATGACAAACAACACCTTCCAAGAATTGATCAGCATCTCACAGTAAAAATTGTAAGTGCTATGTTCTAGCCTCTGTTGACCCTTCCGACCCACAAGGTCAACTGGCAACTGCTTCCATTGAACTTTTTCAGTCTGACCATTTTTTAGCAGCAACACCTGTTTACAGTCATTTCAATTTAACCAACCAAATTGTTGGTCTACCCAAGTTCAAGCAAATCAAAACTCAGGATTGCAACTGTGACTTCTAGTAATTGTACTGTCATCAAAACTTTCATTTACTGGACTCATAGCAGCTGACCCCAAGACCCTACCTAAACTTCAGGCACAGACTCACTGCTCTAATGACAGACAGGTCTCCTCAGCCCAGTGTCCATAATCATTCTCCTATTCTCACGCTCCAAAGCTTTTGTTTGTTTGTTTGTTTGTTTAAATACAAAACTCACAGCTAGCTACCCAAGAAACATAAACCAGCCGAGCCATAGACTGGCTGCTCCTTAAGTCCGTGGCCAGCCATCAAGCAGGTACTTTCTTCCCCAAGAGGTCAGAATGCTGACCTGACAGACCCCATCCTCAACCTAGGCCATTTCATTTTTAAGAAACAGCATCACTGCCTCCAGATGTTCTTACCAAAAGGCAGGGTTTATCTGAGGTACAGAGAACATCCAATCAAGCTGCAGAATCCTCAGACTAACACACAGACTACTATATATAGTAAGCTCCGGTGGCAACTGAGGCAGTTTAAGCTTCTGGCTGAGGGCCACAGGACTGCTGCTTTTCAAAGGGAACAGTAGTTTCTCAGTAAAAGCAATCTCAAAACTAAAAGCAGGAAATGCAAGTCTGGGAGCCTGAATAACATTTTGCAAAACTGAAAATCAGTACATAGACTACAGCCTTGAGTTAAACCCAGGAAAAACAACCATATAACAAAATACAACAGATAAACAAACCACAATCCCATAAACGTCTACACAGTCAATAATGCCAGGTATGCTTGACTGTCTGACCTACAAGGCCACCAGCAGACAAAATGTTTTTATCAAATCCTTTAACTGAACATGTGTGATATCAATTGTAATGATACTTTTACTATGTAATTGAAAATGAATTCTCACACAATCTTTCCGCACACCTCAAATTCAGTCAGTCTTAACAGATCTGAATCAGATTTAAAAATCTGTTAAGATTTTTAAATATTTCGTTCATTTTAAATGCAAAGAAAAAGACTTAGAAATTTGTTATGAAATCTCAGCTAAATAATTACAAAAGCAATGCATTTGAGGCTTTTTCTTTCGAATGTCATACTTTTAACCTAAGAAGAAAATAGAATTATTTCTCCCATTTTAAAAACAATTAAGCTTTACAAGTAACAGATTTTGCAGTCATTAAAATAAATATGTAAATTCAGACCATCTTCCTAAACTAAGCAGCACTTCCCTTCTCCGCTTGCCTATTTATATGAATAAGAGACTTTCAAGAGAGGATTGAAACACTGGATCTAAATTTACATATCATCAGTTAACCATAATACAAAACAGAAAAATCACCTAAAACTTCAAATACATTTTTCAGATAAAATGATTCACAAATGCTTAAGAATTTCTTAGGATTTAAATTGTGAAAAAGCACTAAACCACTGGAAATATTTTTATTCCTCCACCCACCTCCCCCCAAATAAAAATCAAGAGATAAAGCATAGCCACCAACTCCTCCTCTGTCAATTCAGAAGGAAATTCACAGCACATTTTAAGCCATTTTTGTTGCAGATTATTATTTTCATGAACGTTTATTCAGCTATTTTATTTTCAAAGAAAGTGGTCTTAACTACATTCGCTTTTGGGAAATTTTTCAGACAATTTATTTTTCTTCTAAAGCCTGCTCTGTAAGAAAAATAATCAGAAATTGCAGAAGGAAGATTCTTTAATTCTCACTTTCATCATCTAGTTAATATCTTGCACAACAACACATGAAAATATGTACTTTATCTTAAAATCATCATATGCTTTTGTGTGTTACCTCATAGGTGGTTCCATAGTGGCACGTGTACTGGCATTGTCTGTTGGTCTCTGCATCCTGTTCAACATTAGTATAAAAGATGACCCCATCACCGGAACAAGATACAATCTGTTTGTCATTGGTGCATGGTAGGAATTTTGCACTAAAAATATTAGCCCGGTGTCCTGAGCGAATGGTTGTTAAAACCTACAAGAGAAGAAGAAAGCCTGTATCAGGTTAATAATTTCAAAGCAATTAAAGAATGGGAAAATAATACAGACTCAGGTACTATAAAAGAGCACTCGTACTCATGTACTGCCAGCAATGCATAGTTTAATCCCAACAGAAAAGAGAAGCTGCCTTTGCATCACATTACCACTAATTGGTTCCACACTGACCTTTGTACTTGTCTAAAGTAGTTTGCAAAACGAAAGTTATAAAATGCAACTGACACCTTTTTTTTTTTTTAAATGCTAGGTACGTAATCACATCAGGTTTCTCGAAGGAAAGCATTAGTCTGGGATGATAATACAGCCAGCCTGCATGCCAGTGATAGATTTCAAAGATATGAAACACTGTGGGTAGAGCAGCATTCTAATCCAAGCCAGCTTTACGCACTTAAAAAAAAAAAAAAAAAAGATGCTACCTGTACAATAAACACACTTTAAAAGAACTGAAGTTTGTAAAAAAGGATATTTTGAAGCCAGTCAAATAAAAATTTAAGAATACGATCACTGGGCAGAAAAATAGGAGTTTAGGAGTTGAATTCAGTCTCAACAAATGCCTTTCACTTACAGTACAGCAGAGAAGCATATAATTTATTTTACCATCACAACTGGTTTTAAACACTTTGTGATGACTCTATTTTATTCACTACCATACTTTCGATTAGTCTGTTAAAACTGAAATAAAAATCCTCGATATACCTTCCTGTGCAAAGTGTAAAAATTCTACATTTCAGTCCATTTTCCTGCCTGTAAATTAAAAACATTTTCACCACCACCTATGGGAAAGCAAAATCTACAAAGCCATTTGCAGTATTAAAATGCCTTCAAAATTTCTACTCAAGTAAGTTAATCAAATAAAACATGCAAATTAAGCTGCTCTGCCAGTAGTAACTGATGTATAGTATTTTACAACATTCCACTTTCAAACAGTTCAAAAAATTCAAATCCAGTATTCAAAGCCTAATACTGGAAACAAATTCTCCGTTGTCCTATTATGATCAGACTGTAAAAGTTGGTCCCCTTCCTGCTTATAAGCTTCCTTCAAATAGTGGAGGGCTACAATGAGGTCTCCCTGGAGCCTTCTCTTCTCCAAGCTAAACCAGCCCAACTCTCTCAGCCTCTCTTCATAAGAGATGGTACAGCTCTCTGATCATCTTTGTGGCCCTCCTCTGGACCTGCTCTAACAGCTCCATGTCTTTCTTGTGCTGGAGGCCTGAGGTCTGGATGCAGTAGGGTTAGGGTGGGTTAGGTGGAGCCTTACAAGGGCAGAGCAGGCAACAATTAACCTCCCTTGCTCTGCTGGCCATCCCTCTTTTGCTACAGCCTGTGATATTGTTGGCCTGGGCTGCAGGAGTACACTGCTGGCTCATGTCAAGCTTTTTTTCCATCAGGATTCCCAAGTCCTTTTCCTGAGAGCTGCTCTCAACGCTGATTCCACTGTCTATATTGCTGATGCAGATGCTGAAGAGCACTGGTTCCAAGACAGACCCCTGGGGGACACCACCCATCACCAGCCTCCACCTGGACATAGAATCATTGACCACAACCCTCTTGTTTGGTTGTGATCATCCAATGAATCACAGAATCATGGTGGTTGGAAGGGACTTCTGGAGATCATCTAGTTCTAACCCCCTATTGAAGCAATTCTTTATCCACCAAATAGTCCACTCTTCAAATCCATCTCTCTTTGATTTAGAAACAAGGATATGGTACAGAATCATGTCAAAAGCCTTACACAAGCCCAGGCAGACAACATCAGTTTCCCTTCCTTTGTCCACCAAGCCACCACTCCATCAAAGAAGGCTACCAAATGTGTCAGGCACAACCTACCCTTGATGAAGCTATGCTGGCTAGTCTCAGATCACCTCCTCATCTTGCAAGTGTTTTTAACATCTCTTCTAAGAAGATTTACACCACAAGCATTCAGGCACAAATGTGAGGTTCAACGGCCTGTAGTTCTTTGGGTCTCCTTTTCTTGAAAATGGGAGTGATGCTTCCATTTTTTCCAGTCACTGAGGACTCTGCCCAACAGCCATAACTACTCAAATATGATGGAGAGTGGCTTGGCAATCACATCAGCCAGTTCACTCAGGACCATGGGATGCGATGCCATCTGGCCACACAGATCAGTATACATTCAGCCTCATGAGGCAGTCTCTGACTTGCTCTACTTTAGAATGAGAGGGATTTTGCTCCTCCAGCTCCTGCCTGCCAGCCCCCAGCAGGCATCAAATTTCTCCAGAGAGATTATTTGGAAAGCAAATGGGTGCCACTGTGCCTCTCAGTATGGAGTCCCCAAATATTAAGACTGTTTGCCTTTTTTGAGCAGCACTACTTATGACTCGAGAACCTAACTGGACCATCTAAATGTGGTTGACCTTTTCTAGTTCTGAACCATTAACCACATCCTCTTCTTTCCATCTCCAGAGCTTCCCATTGGTTGGTTAGGGGAAATTCAGGAGGAACAGGGAGGTTCCTCCTTCTTCTCTGATCAGAGATGAGGGTCCAGTCCCCCTCATCTTGCATATTTTTGCAATCTGTCTCCTCAGGGTTGGGAGCTTGCTTAGCTTCTTCCTCTTGTAGGGACTTAGGACAGGACTGTCATTTTGCCCATGTCATTGTATGATACTACTGATTGCTGGATACTTCTCATACTGGTGATTTTCTCCCACAACCTAGCCACCTCCCCAAAACATTCATCAATCTGGGTACAACTGTGCCCATGACACCTCCCTCTCTTCCTCCCACTCCCCCCCCACTTCACTTCCCTCAGGCCCTTAGTGGACTTCCAGATTCTGGAGTTTCCTTCAACTGTAGGTCTAGGCAGCTCTGTCACTCATGGGAAGTCTGTCTGGGTGCACGAGTCAGCCCAGAAAAGTTGTAGCCCCCCTTCACAGTTTCTGCCTCAGCCCTACCATTGTGGTGGATGGTCACCATGTTTGTTTCAATAGAGTGCCACACCCTGGTGCACCAGATGAGAATAAAATAGCTCATTTTGTGCCCTCCTCCGTCCCTCACTTCCCTGGCTATACTACTCAGTGCAGCAATAAAGAGCATTGAAGTATTACAGCATTTATTATCTGCAGAAGATTTTCCATGCCCTTCTTGACTTGCTCTGTACATTCTTTCTCACATAATAACCAAAACAGAAATTTAACACACATGGACAACCTCTAACAGCCTATCATTAGCTACACAGAGTAAAACAACACTACCACCTTACTCTCGAACATTTTATTACTATCATGCAACAAGCTATACAGACACTTAATAACTGAGTGAAAACAGAGGGAAGAGACAATTTCAAACATTTTTCCAACTACTTGTTTAGATATAATGACTCAGATATTTTCACAACTTCTGCACTTCCTTAAGTAACACATCACACAGAAAATCAATTAAAGAGGCAAAAAATAAAGGATTTCAAATTGCAGTTCTTAAGTGCTCAGATTATATCTTTGGGACAGGATTACTTGTTCACACACAATCCTAAAGAACTTATCTCCATCTCTAACAATACATATTTTCCTCCAGGAAACAGTACACAAAACAAGCACACACACCGTGGAAAAGGAAAACAAAGAGGTATAAAACTATTATTATTTGCAGATTTATTATTTTTTTTTTGTCACATCTCTGTTTGACATTCTGCTTATAAAAGCTGCATGCTGTGAAACTGTTGATTTTATTTTAGATCCTACAGCAGCTATTAGGTTGTCATCTCAAAACGTAAAGTGTTTTATGGTGACTTTACTATTATTATTATTTACTATAAGGAACAAAACACTATTTTTTAAGCCACATCAAAAACAGTTAAAAAACCCCCAAAGCAGCAGTTTCATTTATTTTCCACTTAACTTTTATTTTGTAAAGAGGCCTGTTTAAACAAATGCAAGCCAAATATCAGAGGTTACTATGCCTTTCAGGATATGGTCAGAGATCCCATTTAAGATATCTAGCACAGAATCATTTGCAATCCAGCCAGATGAACAGTGTTTCTTTGAAGCAGCCAAAGCCCCTTTAGAAGTAAAAAGGAAACAAGCCTAATGGAACCTCTTCCTAATGTTAAAAATAGCAATCTCGACTCTGGAAAAGATGTAATCTCTCAGCTGCACTAAACACACTCCAAAGCCTCTCCAACACTTTCTCACAAGTGGAACCCTTTTCCTCTCTGGAAGCAAACCAAGCTACAGATTCAAAAATCTTAAGCATAATTACTAGCAAGAATTCTGTGTTCACATGGGTTTTTAGCTGACAGAAATCCTGAGTTACATCTAAAGGCTCTGAAAAATGACTGCTTAACCAGATGTACTTGTAGCACAAACTGTTTTAGCTCCAGAGAGTTAAATTATTTACTTATTTTGTTACTGAGATGCCTGAAACATTTATTTTGATGGAGCTGAGTGAAACAGAATAAGAGAGGAATAATCCACAAAAGGAATTATTCTCAACCATCTCAAAGTATAACCAAGTGCTTATTCTTTATTTTAGGCTTACAGTTACTACTAGAAATCACAGTAGTACATTTCTCTTGAGATACACTAACACAAACATTCAAACTAATCAAACTCAACAAACATTTTCCAAAAATTTTTCCTTCTGAGGCACACAGTAACAATATTTCCATTTGAAGACACAGCACAAACTGGAGTTACATACATTCTGCCTCAATAACCTCCTATTTAAACTCCTTTCCACCACACTAACCACACATTTTCTTTCTCCTTCTACATTTAATTTTTCAGTACCTCTTCTAGTTTTAGGTGTCAACCTCAGAGGGAGTATGGAAGAGTGGACTTTGAACATTGCTGCAAAGGATCCCCAGCACTGAAGGACACAGCTCAGAGCATCTGTATAGGAAAACTGACAACAGATGCTCGAAGAGTAAATTATGGAACAATGCTACAACATGATGGACACTAACTGATACTACTGGAAGTCACTTGACTGGATCTTAACCCGCGTAAGTGCAGAAGTGGAAAAGCCAAGCTTTTTACAACACTTACCTTCACAAACCTGCTTCCTCCATCTCAGTACAAATTTTTCTCCACCACACACACACGACAATATCATTTCAAATGGTAATCAATTTTTTTAATACACATTGTTTTGACACTTCATTTCAACACCATTAGGTTACACAAACAAACAACTCAGTATACTGTACACAGCAGAAGCTAGTACAATATTTTAAAGCTAAAATGAAGACAATGTATCTGACTATGAAATTTCACAATTACTGAATGCTTTTGCTAATTCTGACACTAATCTGTTGTGAGACCATGTTCCCTTTGTGCCAGACCATTTACCGTAAAATGGGATAATGCCTCTGTTACGAGGGATTAGAATACTAAGGTTTTAAAGCACTGTGAAATTTTATTTTCATTTACAGAACACTACAAAGTGCCTGATATTATCTTTGTCAGATAATAATTAGTTTCTCTTAAAAAATAACAACTTAAATTCCATTTAAAAAATATTAAGTATTCAGAAACAAACCTACCTTTCTGCTGTAAGGATTGGTAATAACCAGATTGGTGTCATCAGAACCAGATAAAATATATTCTCCTGTATCATTCCAGCAAATTGTATTCACCTGCATGAATTAATTAACAATTAAATTAGACTTGCATTAGAATTTTTAGACTATTAAAATCATCAACATACTATATTTATCCAACAGTACAATAAAAGGAGTTAACAAATGAAACTGAAATAATACTACTTGTCATCAGCTAGCACACACACACAAATAATTACTTTCAAAATAAACTGATACCCACTTCACCTATGGCCTCTCTATTTGCAACTCAGTTGTTTGCTTTGCTCCTGAAGAGCCCATTAGGTAAATTAAGCCTTCCCACAAAAATCTCAAATCCCTCAATTTTATACATTCAAGTGTTTGAATGTAGCAAATATACTCCACAGAGTTCTCTGAACTTGAACTAGCACCACATCACAACATCTTCACATTGTCCAATTTCCGAATGTCCACTGCTCTACAGACTTCTCAGACATGACATCTTCTCAAGGATCCTGTGAAAAGCAAGGTAGAATCCATCCCAGATCCCTCTCTGAGGAATGTATGCATGCTGGAAAACCCAAGTCCTACAGTGAGGTGCAAAGTCATATTGGGAGAAATTTACAATACGTTTCTTTACCAATTTTCCTTTCCACAATACTGTGTTCAGTACTGTGTTAATGATATAAATCTGTAAATTCAAAATCCAGGAAACTCAGAAAGTATCCTTAAAGCAAGCTAGTTTTTTCTTCCAGCGGTAGCTAATGCACAAGCTCCAAAGACTGTATGCATGACCATTATTATTTCAAATTGTCTCCAAAATAGCTTTAGCTGTCAAACTGCAGCTATCAACATTTTTCAATGGCCATTTTCTGCGGGCAGGATAACTGCTGTGATTTGATATGAGTGGACTATATCATTAGTCAAGACTCTATTTTTTAACATTCTTTTCTTATGCTTTCTTTTGATTCAAATGTCCCATTTGTGTGGGCCTGAAAGGCAAAAATCTTTTTGTTTAAAATAAGAATACTCATTTTAGTAACTATTTTTAGCATTGCTCAGTTGGAGTCCTTCTTCAGGCAAAGTTGCAAAATGAATATTAGCTGTTTGCATGGATGGATCACATGGGCAAGTGGATTAATTACTAGAATTTATGTATTTGTTGACAATTTTTTAACTACAGGCACTCAAAAACACATTAGGAAATGAACAGAAGTGAAAATGTCATTCTGTCAGTGTATCCATGTATGGCAGATCTGCACCTTCCATACTGTAGCTTTGGTTCATATTCCACCCCCATATTCTCAATTTCTATTAATACCCATTTGAAATGCAAAGTTATGAAAAAGAATGGCTAGGATGATTGGAAGTACTTAAAGCTTTTTATTGCAAATTTGTGCTAGTCCAAGGGAGAGAGAAACAGAATATGACAAAAGTTCATGAAATCATTCACAGCATGGCAAAAGTAAGAAATAATTTTCCATAGTTCTTTGCAATACAGGAAATGGAGGGCCTTCAATGAGAGCATCTCGCAACACGTCCAAAATAAAGGGTAATTCTCCTATGGTATTTTATTAAAACTGTAATCATTATCATGGAATGCCCTAAACACCAAAAGTGGAAAAGAATATTTGCCAAAGAAAAATGATCAAAAACAAAGATGCAAACTTCATTTCCATTTGTCCATTAAAGTCTGATGTGTTCTCCCTGCTATACACCGGCCATGCCTCTGCTTTCTTCCAACATCAGTTCTGGCCACCATCACAGCCAAGTTAGCAGGCTTGACTGAGTGATACAGCTTGGCTACTCCTACAGCCCTGTCTGTCAGACACCAAGAACTACACATTCAACTAGCCCCTGCATCCATTTAACATGGAAGTAAACTCTTCTGATAACTACAGTATTCAAAACACATAGTCAAGCACAGTGCAGTATTACAGTTAATACCAACACTAGAATGGTAATTTTAATCTACATTTCCTTTCAAGCAGCTAAATACCATGACTGCCCTTAAAGAAATCAAAGTGCTAACACAAGGTTACAGGAACAAAACAGTGAAAACCACAAGAAGCTGTAAAAAGCAGAGTTGGGGGCGGGGGGGGAGGGAGAAGTGATGTGAGAAAGAGCTTGCACAAAAATTTAACTGACAGTGGTAGAAAAAATATCCAAAAAGACTGAAAGCAAAGCAAACATAGTATAGGAAGAAATGTATAGGAAGAAACAAAGGAGAGAGACAACAATTATATGAATTGCAGTGTCAAGCCTACACAAGACATCAAACACCTTCCTTTTAAGTTCTGATTTCATTCAGGTTTGGGCAATTTCAGCACACCCTACCCAAGCCAAATTTGGTTCAGAAAAACTGTGAAGCAAGAAGACAGCCCACTGTGTGCTGGAAGTCTACGACTAAACAGGCTTTTAATTCTGTACTGGATCACCTTTCCCCCTCCCCCCCCCCAAAAAAAGGAAGCCTTTCAGTGGAGTAAACTTGACTTTTATTTTTATTTCCCCAGAAAACAATTATTTTATGCAAGCGATCAGTTAATACATTACACTTCTCAGTGTTCAGTAGACTCCACTGACCAACACTGAATTACCCCCAATAAATACACATACGCACAACTGAAAACAGATGGCCAATGAGAGCAGATTAAGAAAAATCCTAGCCCTGTTCCAATGTAGAACACACACTCTTAAAATACATTCTCAAATGGGGACTACCTAGAAAACTGGTTCATATTGCAGAACTGTTAGAAAAGCTATATATCTATTACCTTCACAGCCACTCAATGCCCTGCTGGAAGCACAGCGCAACAGTTACTACACAAAGGGTTTGAAATTCTTCATTTTAAGGTCAAAATAAGAAAGAAGTCATACTGAAGTGACAGAAATTTAGAATGAAAAAGACACAGAGTGTGTAATTAGCTTTTTTCTATTAGGTATTCTATACTTTATCATCTGTATAAAATTTTGTTTGCTTCTCAACTAGCCATCTAAGGAAGAATCACAGAATCACAGAATGGCCCGGGTTGGAAGGGACCTCAGGGATCATCAAGCTCCAACCCCCTGCCACAGCAGGGCCACCAACCTCCACATTTAATGCTAGACCAGGCTGCCCAGGACCCCATCCAATCTGGCCTTGAACACCTCCAGGGACAGGGCATCCACAACCTCTCTGGGCAGCCTGTTCCAGCACCTCACCACTCTCTCTGTAAAGAACTTCCCCCTGACATCCAACCTAAATCTTCCCTCAAATGAAGCAGTGAGCTCTTTTAATTTGTCACTCAAACAGGAAAAAAAAATTTACCATCTACTAGAATCATAGAAACATGGAATCACATAGGCTGAAAAAGACCTCAAAGATTATCAAGTCCAAGCACCAACCCTTTCCTACTGAGTTCCATCATTAAACTGCATTCCTCATTGTCATGTCCATATATCACCTCTGTGATTCTCTCAAAGAGAGTACAAGAGGCAGCCAAGCCTTGAGGCTGAAAATTCTAAATTTTCACTCACTCCTTTGTAACGTACCAGTAAAATTAGCGCTTTTGTAAACAGAACATGTTAACAGTCTTTAAAAAACAGAAGAAATGAAATAAAAATGTCTTCAGAGACATATCAAAAACATCTCCCAAACACAGAAGGGAGTGAAAAGGCACTACTTGTCACATATGGAGGAAGAAGTAAGAACGACATGTTCTAACAGTATGCTAAACATACTACTTATATTAATTCAAACATAATTTTGAGGACTATGTCTAAAAAGTGACTTGCCCACAAATGCTCTGCTGAATGAGAGATGTATGTCACACCAAACACTTGATACTGAAGTGAATATCTATACATAGAAACAAGAAGTTATTCCTTCAGGTGATCCTCTCCCCTCTGATTCAGAATGTATTATTTCCACATACCATCTACCTACATATTCTGTAATACTACCTTATCAGTTTTCACAGGATTCAACCAATGTGTTTTAGATTTGCTTTCTTCTACTTACCTCATGCTTAGTTGCTACCAGTCCAATGCAGTCAATTTCAAAAGAAAGCATCTCAGCAAATTTTATGCATCTACTACTGAGCTTCTCACCCTCTTAAGCTTCCTTGAGAGCCAACAGAAGAAACAGCAACCTCTGGGCTCAGTTCTGAGATAGAAATCCCAAACATGAAGGTGCTATGGTAATATTAATGCTACATGAATACTCCAAGTATGTCACAGAACTATCATCCTGCCTCAAAAATGTTGTGTGTGAGTATGATTATACATACAGGCCTATTTTCTGACAAGATCTTGCTCTTGTGTAATATATAAATCAAACGGTGAGTAGGAAGGCAGACTTTTATCCTCCATTAGAAAAGCAAATTTATGCTTTAAGTATGTTGTTCATTGTTTTTTAGCAATAGTTTGCTTTACATAGAATATATAAGTCAAAACTAACTCTCCAAAAGAATATAAATGCCTGTAACAAAATAACAAAGCTAGAAAAACTATTAGTAAGATTTCTATGACATTCAGTCCTTACATTTGAAATGTATGCTGATTGAGCACAGTAGGAGAGGGTGGGAAGGATGATGCTAATATAATTTACCAGTGATGGCATAAGCATTTTAAAGAGGAAGGACATCACAATCCCTACTTGACTTCTACATTTACAAAAGCAATACAGCAAAAAAATCTTATTCCAAGAGCTGTAATTTCGTTCAGAGGACAGAGCTCGGAGCATTTATTCATTACTCCAATAATCCTGTGCACAGGCAAGTAAGCCCAACTGCTATTTTAACTTGTTTTCTGATTTGTCTTTATTATCACTTTAAATGAGAATGCAGCACTCAATCATTTGTCTTTTAAGCGTGAAAAATAAATCACTTAAAATATCAATACTGCTTTAAGTCAAGAAAGCACATCGACATGGCACAAAATGATTCCACTTAAGGATTGGTTCTAACTGAAAAGACAAGCATGTGTTTTCCTGACACGTGAGTTTAACTCATTCAAGTGCAGGACATGGTACTGCTGGAGAGAAGTGGGATTCTGTCCTTCAAAGATAAACTACTGAATGCTTAGGAGGAAACAAATATCTAGAGAATTCATATGTAGGTCGCAAAAAGCAGAGGTTTCCAAGTCAGATTTAAGACATGGTATTTGCATTTTTAAGTCAATGAACTATTACTGTGGCAACATAATCACTATTTAACAACATTTAACAAACGAAAAAAAAGCAACAAGTCACTTACACATCCATCATGCACATTCAAGGTTGCTTCAAGTTTTAATCTTTGGATAAATTCTCTTCTCCCTGTGAAGAAAAATACTAATTACAATACCCTTTTAAAATAGTGACATGAAGAACTAATTTTGATCCTACTAATGGACACTAGCAGGTGTAAACCTAAACAATGAAGAATCAGAATATAACTATCAGTCTCAAAACAATTCATATGGTTTTCATTTTACAAATGCTAAGATAAGTACCACATTTGCTAGTTCTTCCACCACTTTCAACAAGGTACAAATGGCAACATGCACAGTTTGCAAGTTGAAGGCTGCCCTGAAACAAATTGCTGTAATATCAAGAATAATCCTGTGGGTTTTTTTGGTCAACTTTGCTGAAGACAGCAAGTACAATATAGTTTCACAACTAAAACATTTTTTATAAGTATACAAAGGAGAATGTGTTTAGGTCTCGAGTAAAATACAATCTCAATTTCAACAAAAAAATTGGAAGATCTTTAAAGTATTATCTACAACTCTACATTTGCTCTTAAGCTACAGAAAGCTCAACTTCAATTTTGTTATTAATGCTGCATTTTGAAAAGCAGAAGTGAAGTCCAGTACCACTGCATTTGATTTGTACATGAAAGATAAAAAAATAAAAGTTTTGGAAAGGTGATATAAAATGTAGAGATGAAGGAGAAAAAAGAAATCTATAAATGAATACTGACTACAACAAGGTCCCATGAATTTTATGCTCTTATCTGCATGCTAGCTGCCATCCAACTGCACTTTATAACACTACGACATCATACAACTAAAGAGCAAAAAAGGCATATTGAAAACAACATCACCACTTCCTGAAGTTCCTAAATGAAAGTTGGAGGTATTTGGTTAGAGTGCCTTTGTGACAGGAAAACAATGTAAAATTAATGTAATAACCCCTAGAAAGTATTTTCAAAAAAGGCAAATATTGGCAAGCCTGATCTTTTCACTTAAATTTTAAAACCCTGTAGACTCCAAGAATATTATTTTTTCTATCCTCTATTTCTAAAACTCTCAGAACAAAACTCTAGGTAAGGTACTAGGCTGTATTGTTTCTGAATACCACAACTACTGCATTCGCTCCAAATTAACTTTCCCTTAAGGAAACTAAGGAGCCTCAGAGAGAAAAACTAGAACAGAAGAAAACCCTCCCTGTATCAGAAAGCTCTACACTTCATGGCTTGTTTTGGTTCAGATGAAATGGGAGGCCCTATTTAGGCATCCAGCCTTGCTGTCTCTGGCATTCCAGTACAAATTTGGAACCATAGTTTCTCCTCTCTACTGTTTCCTCTTTGTGTCTCTACTTGTCCCATACAATCTCCTGAACAAAAAAAAAGACCACCTGGTATCCTCAGCTGCCCCCTCGCAAACCAGGCTGCCACAGGCCAGACACCTGACTGAGAAGCAGGCACAGGACATCAGTGCTACACACCCGCAAAGACACAGGGACTCTTTGAGCATTACAAGCTCCAGCAGCTACAACTGCACCTCAGTAAACGTGCATCTAGTCTTCCCTCCTTGAAAAGGCATGCTTTGGCAGCCAGCCTTCCACTAATACAGCTCAAGTACCACAGCAGACTGAGGAATATTCTGTTACAAAGGATTTTTTTTTGTTTGCTTTAAGAGGATGTATGACTGGGTGAGATGATTATACAGCAACTGTTTCTAAGCACATCTAAAGCAGCTTAAAAAACAAATTAAAAACATACTACCTTACTAATTAAGTGGTGCAGTATTCAGCATTAGTCTTTCTAGTCTTGTTTGACTGCCCTCGCTGTAGACAGAGCAAGAATTCTAACAAAAGCATACATTTAGAATCGCAGTGTAGATTTAAACTTCTTTCCAATACCTTCCTACACTGCTGGTGGGCTGTTTTCTACCCAAAATCAGGCTGATTTCAGAAAATTCAGAGATAGCACAGGGACTTGAAGATGAGTTACTAAAGAGACAGTGTAGAAATGTCAAAATGTTTTGCCTCCAAAAAACCTTTCTTTCTTCATTGGCTGCTCCAAAGGCAAGCCTCAATTTTATTATGTCAGCCCACAGTAACAGAGGCAGATGTTGGTGGAATGGCAGTAGAGGTTAAACCTGCCCATCAACAACCCAATACATGTTGTTGCCGTGTGACAGATGGCAGCAGAGGGGCAGTCTGACAGAATGGAGTCTGACATGGAAGTGCATATGAAGCAAACGTGACAAATTTCTCCATGCAAAAGAAATGGCATCCACTGACATTTATAGCCATCTTCTCCAATGAAGAAAGGTTGAGGGAACTGGGCTTGTTTAGCTTGGAGAAGAGAAGGCTCCTGTGAGACCTCATTGTGGCCTTCTAATATTTGAAGGGAGCTTATAAACAGGAGGGGAAATGGCTGTTTACGAGAGTGGATATTGATAGGACAAGGGGAAATGGTTTTAAACTGAGAAGGGGAGATTTAGGTTAGATGGTGGGAGGAAGTTCTTCACACAGAGGGTGGTGACACACTGGAACAGGTTGCCCAAGGAGGCTGTGGATGCCCCATCCCTGGAGGCATTCAAGGCCAGGCTGGATGTGGCTCTGGGCAGCCTGGTCTGGTGGTTGGTGACCCTGCACACAGCAGGGGGGTTGAAACTAGATGATCACTGTGGTCCTTTTTAACCCAGGCCATTTTATGATTCTGACACTTGCTGAACGTTTCTGGAGACCAAACAGTGGATGTAGGCACAGTTATGCAGTGGGTGGTGAGTTCCAGTAGTGGCAACAGACACATCAAAGACAAGCCATGTTCTGGACAGCCACGCACAGCTCTCACACCACAAAACAAAAAATGTCTCAAACAGCTCATCTGTATGAATCGTCATAGCATGACCAGGGAACTCAGCAGAGCTGAATATCAGCTTCAACACTTTGGAAAAAAAAATGGCAACGTTGAAATATAGCAAAGTTTGCACTAGGTGCTTCTCATGAATGCTTACATGGGAATAGAAAGAACACCATATGTAAATTTTGTCAGGACCTACAGAACAGATAAGAGGCTGAAGGTGACAGTTTCCTGGAACACATCCTTACTGATACATGCTGTCTCTACTATGAGCTGGAGTCAGAACAGCAGCCCATGGAGTGGCAACATGCAAATTCCCCACCAAAGTTCAAGATGCAGCCTTCAGTGGATATAGTGATGTGCACCGTCTTTTGGGATAGGAAAGGGGTGATCCTTATGGACTTCCTGGAACCCAGACAAACCATCCACTCTGACTTCTACGTCACGATGCTGACTAAGTCAGGCCAGGACAACCTTTTTCTTGCAACATAACAGCAGGCTCCATATGAGATTGGGGACAACAGACTTCATTGCTCATCTCAGCTGGGCTGCCCCACCACACCCACTGTACATATAAAGTACTAAAATAAGCTAGAAGCAATCCATTCAGTTTTCTTATTTTATAATGCAAAACTGGAGTCAGCAGATACCAAATGTGTTGTTTCCTCCTAAAATAAAAACAGAACTACCTGAATAATCTGATCTGAAGAAAATACTGATTCTGCATTCACAGTTTTTAAAAGCTGACTTAACAGTCCACAAAATCTTTGTTCTTTGTATTGCAGAGACGACTTCAATAAGTTCACTGGTTTGATGAAAAAGCTCAGCAGTAAATAAATATTATAGTTTTTTGTTATTTAAGTCACCTGAATATTTTTTTGTAACGTTCATATTTTTTATCACATTAAATGGTATTGTTTTCAATGCCTTATCTTGCTAACTAGTAGGCTAACCCTCCTAACTCATTCTTAAGATTCCTTGTCACAACTCTTATCACTAGACTTCCTAAAAGTCAAATTCTCCCCTTCAAGGACTCCGCTCTTCTGGATGACAAGCACCCTGACAAATCCTTAATTCTCATTCACCTACTGCAGTGGCTACCTGTTCCTTCTGTCCTCCAGCAAAGGTGGCCCTCCTGGATTCTCTTCACCTGAGACAGTAGGGGAGATGCAGTCTCTCAGAGTAATTCTTTCTGGACTTAAGACCTTTGCTGACTTTTTTTCTGCTAACAGTGTGGACAGGCTGTGTAAAAGCCAAAAAGTGGTTTTGTTTTGTTTTGTTTTGTTTTTGCTTAAATACATGCCATCAGAGAATTAATGAGAGGATGCCTTAATTACTTCTCTTCAAGTAAGATCTATTTATGAGAGGGTCAAGTGACCAAGCTGTCATGACACACATTAGCTCACTGAACATATGTGAGGTTTGTTTTGAAACTCCTGAGGTCAAGCTATCTTCAAAAAAACAAAAAGCAAACAAGCACTGTGAAACTTCAGATGATAGTGATGACCTCCCTGAAGTATTTATGTATTTGAAATCCGGAGAGCTATCAAGCCAGCACTCTACCCGCCCATTTTCACTCAACACTTCTGAAACCTCAGGGGATATATTGCCATTCTGAGTACAATGATCAATGCCATTTTCAGGTTTTGTCCACCCACCCACTTTTACCAAACACTACACACTACTGAAGATTCAAGGTACAGTGACACCCTCAGCACTGTGATCAATATACTTAAAATATAGGACTATTCCCAAGGCCACATTTTATGTATGGAAGAAGCATCACCTGATGCACTCATCACATGAGCTGAAAAATGGGAAAGCGGGCAAAAAAAGAAAGCACAGATGTTTACTTGTACGTTATCTCTTCAATATTCTATCCTGCACATAATGTCAAACCAACGATGCCTTGCCAACACACCTCTCCAGAGAATCACCTAACAATGGTCCTTCAGAATACATGACAGCAGAAAAGCTCAATGCTTCAAGTACGTAAGACCTTTATATTCACTCCAGACCTTTCCATTGAAAATATAGAGATCATTTCATGAAGAAGCTCTAGACTTGAAAGTGTGTTTGCGCTATACAGAAATATAACCAAATTTTGATGCAAAGCTGCACCATCACAGTATGTGAAACTGAAAGGTAACCTTTATTCTGAAAAACAGTAATAGATCCTGTTTGTCAAACAAATGCTCATTTAAGCCAAGCTGGCTCTTCCTGAGGCCAAGTCCCTCAGTGC